TAAAATAATATATAAAATTTAAAAAATTTAAAACCGATGAACTAAATTGAACCATTAAAATTTGGTAATCAATTTTTAAAGAAAGTCAATTAAATTTTAAATTAAATTTTAAAAATTTATAATAATATGTATTATTTAAAAAATTGAATCGAATCTGATTAGATCGTAACCGATATCACTGTTAGCTAGATCCTCCAATTTTAATCCCTTCAAACATGAGAGGATGTTGTCTCCACCTTGAACCTGAAACGCCTCCTCAAATTGCCCACTGATAAGTATTCTTTATCATTTGGCAACTTTTGTCTCCGTTGAGGTACAATTGTGTCGCATAATCCGTTCCGTTCTCCTCGCTCAGAAAGGTGTAGGCTTAGTTTGTGGGCATTAATGGACATTTGACTGAGCCGTAGGCCCGTAGCCAATTAACCACATTGGTCATTTTGACTAGCAAGCCCAAGTCTAGCCTAGATTTGGCAGGCTTATATTGTTGGACCATATTGGGTAGGTTTTGAAAAGAAAAATAAAGCAGGCTTATTTTTGTGCAAAGCTTTAGCCTACCAAGGCCCAATGTGAAATTACTAATTTTGACTTTTTTCATCAAATTATAGTAACTATTTTAATTTTTTTTTTAGTTCGATTTTTTATATGTTGTTCCGTGGAATTTTTCATTTTTACAAATGAGATTAAGAGAATGACACATTTTATTTTTTTCATTTTATTGTATTTATTAAATTGCAAATAATTTATTTTATTAAGATCAAAATTTAAAAACATATACATATATATGTACTATCAGTCTCTTACAAAAATATCATGTTTATTTTACCAAAAAAATCGTAATCTAAAGATGAGAGAAGAAATTATAATGTTAAATATTATTTTTTAATTATTATTATATAAATTAATTGAATTAAATTTTATATGCAAAAATATTATGTTTAAACACAAATGATGAAAAAAAAAGTGCATAAATTTATTGTATTAAATTACGACCTTTGATTAGAGAAGGTAAAAAAATTCGAAACCGACAGATTTTGATCCGATCCGACTTTTTAAGGTTGATTTTTTTTTTTAAAATACGATATCGGGTCAAGTCGTATAAAGAAAAATTCGAAGTCAAGTCGTGGTAAGGCAAACCCGACCTTACTCGACCCGATATATATATAAATGATTTTTTAATTATTTATTTTAATTTTATATATTTATATATTTATATATTTTTAATTTTATATTTATATTAAAAATAATATTTTATATTTAAAAAATAATATTTTATTAATTTCAGATAAGATCGGATATAATTTTATATAATAACAAATCGAGTTGAGTTCGAATATTAAAATAATAAAAAAATTTATCAGATCGAATCGAATTTAAATTTTATATATTTAAAATCAAATCGAGTTCAATGTGAATAAAAACTCATTCCGACTTAACCTGTTATCATCAATACCTTTGATCATTTTTTGGACCAATTTTTCAAACCAATACAACCCCACTATACCATGCCATTTACATTCACCCAAAAGAAAATTCCCTTGTCGATTGAAATTCAAAAAAGTGTCCTAACAAGCTGTCCAAACTCAAAAGGAATAAGGCCCATTTCCACGCACAAATAAACGATGGGGTTGATGAGCAAAGAATTCACAAAATCCCGAAGCCTAATTGGAAGGAGAAATCAAGAACTTAGTAAGGTATGGCTCTCAAATCTAGCATCTCTTTGCTATTGTTATTTTGTAGTTAAGGGTGATAACAGATCAATTATATTGAATTCAATTTGAATTTTTTAAATAATATATAATATTATAAATTTTTAAAATTTGATTTGAATTTAAATTAATTTTTTATATGATTCGATCTGAATCGAATTTTATTGATTCATTTTGATTTTTTAATTTTTTATATATTATTTTAATATATTTAAATAATTTTAGATATAAAGTAATTATTTTATTTTATAAAAATTTTGAAAAAATGTAAAAATTAATAAAAATATATAATTCAATTCAAATTATTATTTTTTTATTTTTCACTTTCGATTTAAAATTTGATCCAAACTTAATATATTTATGTAATATATGAACTTAATACGAATCAAATAAAAAAATCAATTTTAATCAAATCAAATATTATAATTTTAAATCAATTTTAACTTTTTTTTTTTTCTCTTTCCTATTTGTAGCCTCAAATATCCCCGAAAGCAAGGTTAGGCTCTTTTCTCTCCTCCCAGTTTTCTTCCTATTCACCATCCTCCCTCTTTGCATCTCTTATGTCTTCCCTGTAGGCTTAATAGCTGTGCTCCTCTTGGTTAGGCAACTTCAAGCTCCTTCTCTTTGCCTTTGATAAAAGGACCAATTTCATCTCACCCACCAATTTCCCCATCCCCTTTATCTTCATAGCTTGTCTCCCTATAAAAATCAAGGAAAATAAAAAATACCCATTTCTCAAAAGCCTCCAATCGCCTCAAAATTCACCTCCACTACATCCTAAATTGCCTCTAAATTGGCCAACCAAAGTCTTGCTTTTTGCCATATTGGTTAGTGCACATGATCATAAGCAATACGTGCATCAAAAGGTTGTCATTGGTTCTATATTGCTGCTTGGTGTACTTAATGATAGACATACTTTTTGGTATATCCAATGGTCTAATACGTGCCACGTGGGGTTGAAAGTCGAATCACCGTCCGATGAACCTTATATTTCAACATCATTGCATGATTTTTGGAGTAAGAGATGGAGCCTCATGGTAACAAATCTTACAGGCTACATCATATACAAGCCCGCTAGGTCATTTTCGGACAACTTGTTAGGTTCCAAATGGCAGTGGTGGCGGCTTTCCGAGTTTCCGGTCTAATGCGTGAACTCTTGTTCTACTATGTCACACGTGTGAGTCCCACGTGGGAGGTTAGATGGTTCCCTTTGTTGCTTGAGGCATGTGTGGTCATGGAGTTTGGGGTGCAAAGGTTGTTTTGGCCAGCTTCAGCTGCATTGGGCGGTGTCGATGCCGTTAACGGTCGGTTTCGCAGTGGCTCACCTTTGGTGAGGACTGGTGTAGTAGAGAGAGCCGTTGAAGAGTTCAATGTCTTGTTGGACTTTGCTAAGGTTTTATCAAAAATGAAATGATTAATTGTAGTTACACTAATTAGGCACGTAATTTTTTTTTTTTTTACTGAAAATGCAATATATGAAAGGATATGATATTTTTGGTTAATTTAATTTATGAAAAAAAAGATTATGGTTATTCTCTTAATAATTATTTTTAAATAGATATGTTTAAGAACAAGATTATTTGTTTAAATATGAAGATTTGTCCAAATTTAAATAAGGTGGGGACAAAAAATTAAAGTTATTAAAAGGGTTTAGGTATAATTTTTAAATTTATTTAAATTTTAGGCTAAACTATTAATAAAAGAATTGAAGTTCAAGTCCGACCTGACTTAACTCAAATTTATATATATATAATTTTTTTATTTTTTTATATATACGTGAATTATATATAAATTAATTCACATATATATATACAATTAAAAATAAAATTATATTTATTATTAAACTTAATTATTTTTTTATATAATTTTTATTTTTAATTTTACATATATAAATTTTATTTTAAAGTTTTATATATATGTAAATTAAAATAATCTCATTAAATTTAATTTAATCACATTTTTTAAAATTTTTAGTATATAAATAAAATTTAATAAGTGAACTTAATTTTTTTTAATTTGGATCGAGTTTAAGAAAATTTTAAAACTCGATATTTCAAATAGAATCAGATATAAATAAAATTATATAAACTATTAATAATAAGTATGATTTCGATCCGAATTTGATATGACTTAACCTATAAATATCTCTACATTTAAATAGCTGATTATTATTATTTTTAATACTTGAAATCATTATGATTTGAATTTAATCCCGCAATTAAGAATGAAATCATGACTAAATCATTATTAATTTGATCACTATTAATTTGCCCTCTTATCAACATTTAGCCCAAATGATTTTTTTTCCATTTTCATTAGAATAAGTGAACTTTTACCTTTTCAAAATTTTCTCCACCAAATTAATTCAAGTCAAAATTTAGGAATGAAGTCATGGAAATTTCATGTCATGAGAGCAAATTGGGTGATCCCCATTGGAAACTTCTTGTTGTCTCATAGTACAGAAAATTCTTGGCAAAAGCCTAAAAGCCTATTCTAATTAAAAAAAAAAAAATTATGGTTGCATTGCTAAATAATAGAAAATAATAATAAAAAAAAAAACCAAGTGAAATGTGATATTTGATAGTTATATCTTTGGGAGCTTGTTTTTGTGGCTTAAAGTGAATGTTGAGGTTCCTTTCCCATATCAATCTTTATATGTTACCTCTTTTCACACATCCCTTAGATTTTGTGGCATATAAACAATTGGTTTCTATCTGTTAATTTTATCATTTTTTTTATCTTTTATTTTATCTAATTAATTTTATATTATTAAAAAAAACTCATAAGACTCTGTATTTCACAATTAAAAAAAGCCTATTTTAAATCACATACTTTTTTATCTTTTTTTTTTTAAATGTCTCAAAATTATATCTTATTTTTTTAAAACATTTAAAACTCTTTCTTTTTTACATTTTAGGATTATTTTTATGATTTTTTTTACTTTTTGACATTAAAAATCATAAAAGTTTAATTTTATAAAAAAATTTTAAAATTAATATTAAATACAGCAAAGTGATTTTTTTTTATATATTTCATGAAAATCAATGTATGACAAATATTAAAATTTATACTTTATCCTAATTATTTAATGTACGTGTTAATGAAATTTTGATTCAATAATTAAAATTTCTTCTATTTTTTTTTTATAGTAGAATAAAGAAAAAAATAGTACCCCAAAAAGGGCCCAATGGCCCAAAATCGCCTTAAACTGCCCAAGAATCTAAAAGCCCAAGGCTATTAAGATTGCCCTTCTCTTACACGAAACTACGACTAGTTCATAAGGGCACAATCCGATGTTAACCTTATCATTTTAACGCACAAGTCAGATTGTCAGAATCAGAGAAACAGAAAGCAAAATCAAAGAAAAAAAAAACAGAAACAGAAGAAATAAAAGAAAAAAAAAGCATAAAATAAAAACAGATAGAGAGAAGAACTAAGTAAAAATAAAAATCAAAGAGCTGATTCGATCTACTCTCTATCAAAGTTTTGATCTTTTGTTTCAAAGGTAACTCCTTTTTTTCCATTTATTTCAGAACCCTTTTGTTTTTCTCATAATTCTTTCTTGTTTAGAGTTTCTTTTACTCAAATTTTGAAACCCTTTTGTTTTATTAATTTTCTGTTTTTCCAATTGGTTAAATGTTTTAATTTGATAACTTTCTTATGCATTGGGTTATTTTCAGCTCACTGTTTTAGGCTTTTGGTTAATTTTTTAAGCAAATAGCTCTGTTTTATGTAGAGAAAAGAAGCAAAGAATTTAGCTTTATTGGTTCTGAGAAAAAAGCTTTATTTAAGCTTTTTTTTTTTTGCTTAGGTTTATCATTTATGTAAGTTTTTGGCATTGTAAGTTAGGTACAAGGATGTTAGTTTGATCTTATTGGTGACTATTTGCATGTCTAGCTATTTGGGTTTAAAGGAAAAAGCTTTTTCTTTTGTGGGTTTTTGTTGATTGGGCTAATCATTAGGTTGGTTTTTGAATTTGGGGTGTTTGGAATAATGGGTATCTTTTATCTAATGGAATTTGTTTGGAACTCTTGGTTGATTTTGTTGTTCCTTCTTTGAGCTTATGCTGGTGTCATTATCCATTTAGTTTAATTGAGGGTTTTATGGATTTTTTGTATGTGTATATGCATGGATAAGCATTTAGATTTGGAAGGAAAAAGCTTTATTCTTTTGTGGGATTCTGACAATTCGACTAGTTATCAGGTTGGTTTTTGAAGTTTAGGTATGTGGCATAATAGGTATTGTTATATGGTGGGGATTTATTCGGTGTTCTTGATTGTTTTATTGGTTTTTTAATTGAGCTTGTATTGTAATTATAATCTGCTGAATTTAATTTGTTGCTGATTTATAAGGGTTTTAGATGGAAAGGATGATTTGTTCCAAAAAGTAATTGGAATTCTGTTTAAACAGATATTTGATTGGATATACATGCCAACACAGTTCGAGGTCAGATAATGGCTGTTGAGGCTTCTGCCAAACATGTTTATGATTATGACAATGAGGATGACGATGAGCCTCTAGTGTTCAAGAGGAATAATGCCTCATCCTCTAAGCAGAATGAGTTAAACTCGGAAGTAAAGAAGGCATCATCTCAAAGGTCTGACGGGCAATCTGGGAGGCAGACATCTGATATACGAGCCTTCAATGGCCAAAGTTCCAATTCCCAGAAGAACAAGACAATCCCATCTTCTAAGTTACCTCCAGTGAGATCGCCTTTTTTAAGCCCAAGAGCATCAACTTCATCTGCCAAGGCATCAACTGTGAAGTCACCAGTGGTGAATTTTAAGGCATCAACTTCATTAAATGATCAATCAAAACAAGCACTGAAGCAGAATATGTCTACTGCTGTCAAGGAAGAGAAAAGCCCAATTGAAGTTACCACTGAAACAAACAGTGATGACGATGATTTACAACCTTTGAGTGTGAGGCTTAAGGGGATCTCAAACCAGGGCAACAAAGGGGCGAGCACTTCTACTCTTATCCAATCACAGCGATTGGTACCAAAGATTGAGGTAAAAAAATCTGCTGAAGATCCTTATGATGAAGCTCCTCTGTCTGCAAGGTTCAACATGAAGTCCAATGCTGGGGCATCGAGTAGTGAGCCGTATGATTCTGATGAGAAGAAACCTCTGGCATCTAAAATTCAGCAGAATGGTTCCACCATGACGGACAAGAAGCAAAAATCTTCTATGTTGTTAGGTAAGAGACCTCTTGATAAGGGCAATTCCTCAGATCAGTCTTCAGCTAAAAAGACAAAGATTTTAGATACACCTACAACAATGAAACCCAAACAAGTAACAGTAAAAGCAGAAAAGGCTGATGAAGATGATGATCATGTTCCAATTGCCCAACGAATGAAAAAGTCAACTTCATCAGACAGTAAAATGTCATGTGTGAAGCAAAAAGCAACCAAGGTTGTATCTTCTTCATTTAAAAAGATAAATAAAAAGTCAAAGAAAGAGATGAAAAATTCTAAATATATCAAGTCGACAAAGGTGTCGCCTAGTTCTGGTGATGGGCAGAAAAAGTGGAGTACCTTAATTCACAATGGTGTCATTTTTCCACCTCCATACAAGCCACATGGGGTTAAGATGCTATACAATGGACGGCCAGTTGATCTAACTCCTGAACAAGAGGAGGTCTCTCTCTCTCTCTCTCTCTCTCTATATATATATATATATATATATACCATTTATGTTTTATTGTATTTTCATGTGTTTTTGTGAAGACCAATGTTGTTTGTGCAATTACCCAGAAAGTTCAAAGTTCTCATTCGACTTGCTGTCAGATGTTTTAACCTAATTTGTTCATTCTGCAGGTTGCCACAATGTTTGCGGTGATGAAAGATACAGACTATATGAGTAAAACACAGTTCAAGAAGAATTTCTGGGAGGATTGGAGTAAAATACTTGGAAAAAACCATACCATTAAGGGCTTGGACAAATGTGACTTCACTCCAATATATGAGTGGCATTTGCAGGAGAAAGAGAAGAAGAAACAAATGAGTTCTGAAGTAAGTTGGTTGAAAATAATTTTTGGCTTCGATATATTCAATCAATTCTGGTACCAAATCTGTCTTAGAATCTACATATTTTTTTCATATCATGTTATTTAAAAGCTAATTCTGGATAATATCATTAAGTTTTATAATCATTAAGCATGGTCGCTGGTTGTATAGGAGAAGAAGGCTTTGAAAGAAGACAAGTTGAAGCAGGAGGAAAAGTATATGTGGGCTATCGTTGATGGCATCAAAGAAAAGGTGAAGATTTAGCTTCAATATAGAATTTGATTTGTCCCTTTTAAGACTTCTTTCACTTCTTCTAGATTTAATTTAATTTGTTACTGTTTGTCCCCATTCTACCCTGTTTTTGGAGAGTAAAATTGATATTTACTTTCTTGTCTTCCATTAATCTCATCAAGAGCTACTAAAATTGGACAGCTTTCTTTTGATTTATTAGTTCTTTGTTTCTTATGAAGTTCCTGCTAAGCAAGATAATTGTTTTAATTGCAGGTAGGAAATTTCAGAGTTGAACCGCCTGGGCTCTTCCGAGGTCGGGGAGAGCATCCGAAGGTATTGCTGACATGCTTGACAACTCTAAAGCTGTATAAAATCATATGCTTTAGGCTGATAATTGAATTTGCAGGATTCTTATATTATGTTCTTTTAATTTTATTGTTGCTTATCAGATGGGAAAATTGAAAAGACGTATTCGACCAAGTGACATTACCATTAATATCGGAAAGGATGCCCCAATTCCGGAATGTCCAATCCCTGGTGAAAGGTTAAGAGATAGAGAGATAGCATTCATTTTCTATAATATATGAAAGGATTGGAGGTTATTTTAAATTTAGGTTATCTTGACTTGAAAATATTTTGTTTGATTGGCAGCTGGAAAGATATAAAACATGACAATACTGTCACATGGCTAGCTTTCTGGAATGATCCCATTAATCCAAAAGAATTCAAATACGTATTTTTGGCAGCTAGCAGTTCTTTGAAGGGGCAAAGTGACAAGGAGAAATATGAGAAAGCTAGGATGCTGAAGGTAATAAGTGATATGATTGTGTGTTTAGTTTTTATTTAGTGAACCATGTATAATAGATGTCTTTGCTTTAAATGCAGGATTATATCAAGAACATAAGAACAGCATATACTAAGGATTTTACAAATAAAGATGTTACAAAGCGGCAAATAGCTGTTGCTACCTATCTTATTGATAAATTAGCTCTTAGGGCGGGTAATGAGAAGGTATATCACATTTGTACCATGAACCATCGTATTTGTGTTTTTTTTTACTGTATACAAGTACTTAACTTTTGGTTAGGATTCAATTGAATCGAGGAAATGGATTGTTGGAGCTGATGTAGTTTATTAGCCATTTTGTGTTGGTTAGGTATTATATTTAGTGGCCCAATACGCATTTCTGTTGATGTTTATGAAAATGTTAGTGGCTGGTCCTAGTAATAGCAAAAGGGCAAAAGTCGGTTGCATCATCCACTAAATTATTTGCAACTGTTGCTGTTCTAACTTTTTTGAATTCTTTTGGCCTATCTCTTAACCTTTTAACTCTTTCAACTTCAAATCAAATAATGGTGCAAATCCATGTATTTGGTTTATGCTGTGTCTAATCTTTGTTTTTGCTTGTTACTAATCTTAGGTTGGTCTTCTCTGTGTAAGTTAAAATGATGTCTTCTTGAAAAATAATTGAGACTTAAAATGGTTAGGTATATAGTTTGAAAGATGTGGATATCCAATTGGTGTTATCCACCGTTGGTCTTGAAAGATGTTGTTGGGTCCTATAACCTTAGTTCTGCAGAAGCTTTCAAGCAATTTGTTTAGGCTATTCTTCATGTTATGGTTGGCCATGTGCAGGATGATGATGAAGCTGATACTGTTGGTTGCTGCACGCTTAAAGTAGGAAACGTGGAGTGTATTCCTCCAAATAAATTGAAGGTATGGTTGGTTTTATATTCCAAGAAGAGATATTCAGCATTTCTTTTGTACTAAATTTGGTAATTGTTGGAAAGGACCTAATTTTTTGAAGACTTGGCAAGTTTAAACTCGATAGTTTTAACTGAAGTGCAATTAGTATTAGTGCTTGGCAATTGTTGTTTGTGGAATTCTGTGGCAACTAGTCAGTTACCTGCTGGTTGATGCTGGTGTTAACATTTTTTTCTTGTTTTGATCACTTAGTTTGACTTCCTCGGTAAAGATTCGATTCAGTATGTGAATACGGTGGAGGTTGAACTTCCTGTGTACAAGGCAATTGGACAGTTTCAAACTGGTGAGTTGGTGACAACCCGTATTATGATTCATATTTGTGTGATATGACTAAAGCCAAAGAGTACGGCCTCTCTTTTATGCAGGGAAAAGCAAAAGTGATGATCTTTTTGACCAGCTTGATACTAGTAAACTAAATGCTCATTTGAAGGAACTCATGCCTGGGCTTACAGCAAAAGTCTTCCGTACCTATAATGCTTCCATTACATTGGATGAGATGGTATGTTGCAGCCTGTCACAGACATGAATTTCACTCTAATATGCATGTGCATATGTATGTTTTACATAGCCTGGTTGTGAGTCATCAGTAAGTGTGTGAGACAAATCTATTGGACTAGAATGGTTTATAGTGAAACGTAAACAATTTATGAGAGATTTCAAACTAATGGGCGAAATTGGTGAAGTAATGTATTTCATGACTGTCGTCATCCTGTTTGAACAAGGCTAGGAAGTCAATACTTCACATGGAAATACAGGGTTTATATTTACGCTAACATTTTTACTGATAGCATATCATTGCTTGTTGGGTAATTTTAAGGCTTTATGCATTTTTCTGGTGTTTCTATACTTGTGTCATTTGGTTGGATTGAATTTAAAAATTTTTTTGGTTGAATTTTATTCTTACTTGAATTTCCTTTGGTTGGATGACAGTTAAATAAAGAAACCAAAGATGGGGATGTGGCAGAAAAAGTAGTAACTTATCAGCGTGCAAACAAAGAGGTAAAGACTGTTTCTTGCTAGATGTTAAGTTAATGAAGAAATCTATTTTGAGTTACAATTTTGACATCTAGAATTTTGAGTGTTCTTGCTGCAGGTTGCAATCATTTGTAATCATCAGCGTAGTATTTCAAAATCTCATAGCGCACAGATGTCGAGGTTGACCGAGAAAATAACAGAACTCAAGGTAATAACTCTTTCTAGGATTCTACCTTTTGGCAATAGTGCTTTGTTGATGTGGAAGGGTGTAGACCAACTAGCGGCTACTAATGGATTCGCTGCTCTCTCTCCTTATGTGTGTTCTATCCATGTTGGCCTGCCTTTGCTTGCATTGATGGCAAGATTGTGGCCATATTTTAATTAAAATTTAATTGGCTCTTTCTCAGGGCTTGTGCCTTTTCTACTTCATGCACTTAGGATATGTTCTGCACCACAATTTGGTGCCATCTATTGGGCTGACCCTTTTCCTGCTTCTTTCAGGGTGTTCTAAAAGAGCTAAAGATTGATTTGGACAGAGCTAAGAAGGGGAAGCCCCCATTGAAGGATGCTGATGGGAAGCAGAAGAGGAACTTGACCCCGGAAGCGTATGATAGCTTGTTCCCATTTTCTTAAGCCATTTATACAATTTTTGTGTTTCGTTGATTCATTTATCAATTTATATCCAGGATAGAGAAAAAGATAGATCAAACAAATGCAAAGATTGAGAAGATGGAACGAGACATGCAGACTAAAGAGGATCTAAAAACTGTGGCATTGGGCACGTCCAAAATCAATTACCTTGACCCTAGGATTACAGTTGCTTGGTGCAAGCGACACGAAGTTCCCATTGAGAAGGTAAACAGTATTTGCTATAGTTGTTGGGATGATGCATTATTCAATCGAGGTTAATTTCTTATTATGTTGCTTCACAGATATTCAACAAGTCTCTTCTGGCAAAGTTTGCTTGGGCAATGGATGTGGATCCTGATTTCAGATTCTGATCATCCAAAGTGAACCCAGGTTGGTGCTGTGAATTTCTTACTCCCACCACCAGTAACCCAAAGGAAAAGATGGGGACAAAGGAACATCCAACCCCTCTTCATTATCATCCATTTTTCCATTTAAGTTATTCACAATTTTTTTAGAAAATTCATGTTATATGTCAAATCTAATCTAATCAAAGGGCTAGTTGGCCCATTTCTTTTTTCCATCCTCTCAAACTGTTCCATGTTGGACAGCAGTTGCAACTGAAATTGTTTGCTTTAACTTTTGAACATTCCATACTAACTTTCAAATGTTGAGATACATTGAAGAATGGCTAAAAGACAGAACATTTTATACTTTTCCACCCACAGGTTCCTTTTTTTTTTACAAAGATACTGCTTATGTTCTTTTGAGCATTGGTAGGTTATGTTTAACCTTCAATCTGCAGTAAACAAAATAATCAAGAAAATGTTGGATTGAGCTTAGCACTGGTGATTGATCTACGGAGGTAAAAGTTTGATTAACTTTGTTGAAAATTGTGAACCTGTTGTCACTGCATATGATTCACGAAACATATCTGAATTGAATAAGGTTAGCAATTTGATTAGTTCTAGAACTGAAAGGAGTGATCTATTCTGACAGCAAGTTATAAATAAGAGAACCAAAAGAATCATCTTTGGTTCCCACTGACAGTTCTTATGAATTTTGGTTACCATTGGCTGTTCTGTTTCACGAATTTTGACACCTTCGACTCTATCTTCACCCTTTTTACAAACCATAAGCCATGGAGGTAAAGAATGTGTTACCAAATTTTTTATGGTTGTTGTCCGACGAATTGGAGGTGTCACAAGGCAACACAAGGCAGCTAGCTAGCGACTGAAGACAGCAGATCAAGTGGAAGCTCACAAAAAAATCCTGTTTCTTTTGCTTCTTGGAATGTTAATTTGATCTTATCAGTCTTCATCTCTTCCTTTCTTCCATGAACATGACAGCCTATACATTTCTGAACAAAGTTAACATTAAAGAGCTAAAGTCTGGCAAATGACAGTATAGGAGAAAGAAGAAAAAGAAATGATACTTGAACTTACCTATAGTCTGGCATTACTCAAATAGGTGAGCTCCATGGTGGTTTTAAATCTATACAAAGCAAAGAGACCGAACACTCCTCTTCTATGCATGTTTTTGTCTCCACTCAACGTGAAATATATGTGTTTCCCTTCAGTTTCTGGCCTCAGAGCAGGGCTTGCAGTCTCTCTTACGGTCATGGAGAAAGTCCATATCATCATCACAATAATCTCTTACGGTCTGCTCAGTCCACTGTTGATCTCCAATTCTACAAAACATGGAACTGACAAATTTTAAGAACAAACTATCAGGATTACCAGGAGGTGATGATGACAATATGCAGCAGGACCCTATCTTTCATTTAGGCCCCAAAGTAAGTGATGGTAACAGTATTGATTCCAAAGTCAAACAATTCCACAGAGAACACTGATCCTTTTCCAATAAGAACAACCAACCGTAAGAACAAGTCTCCACAACTCTCGATGTTTTTCATCAGCTTTTGCTTTCCAGGTTTGGTTTTGTTGCACAAAAAAACTGGTTTCTATAACCTCAGCCATTCCTGAATAACAACCAAGAGCATGGGTTCGGTTCAGGTGGACATAAACGTGTTCCTGTCTTTGCTTTCTTCTCCATCTCCTATCAGAACCCAAACGAGAAAGTAGGTTAAAAAAAGAAAAAAAAACCCTTTATTGTTTGCTTGCATTGAGGGCAAAGACTTGCTTTAAAGGAACAAACATCCAAGCAAACACATGCTAAGGCAAACCATTGCAGCAGAATTTTGTTTATATTGCCCTTAACACAACATACATGCAATAGACACTACATTTATGCCACATATGGTCGTTGCCTTAGTTTCATGTTTTCCCTTCTATTAAAATTTGTTTTTTTTACAAAAAAAAAAAGTTCACAATATAATAATAAAAAAATTAAAAAATATTAAGATTTAAATTTTAAACTTATTAAATGTTATTTTTTTCATGATTTAAAATGCACCATTTTTTTATTATCATAAAATTGAAAGAATAAATTCTTATTTATCTAAAAATTAAAAAAAAAAATCTTTTTTTCCTTTTAAATTTTGCCTTTTATTGAAAATTTTTGGTTCATGGAAGTGGGAAGAAAATGACTTTGAATTAAATTATTGCATGGCCCAAAATTATTGGCCTTTTTTTTTTTTTTTCAAAAATCAAACAAATACTAGAAACAAGGGAACAATAATGCCTTTTTTTAGATTTGTTTATTTATTTATATATAAAAAACATGCCCGTAATAATGTAGTAGACGACGACGTAGCCGGTCAAATGCTACCGTCTTGATGTTGCCATTGCCTCCTGTCACTTAGCCTCAACGCCGCCCTTTCGTCACTCAATTCGCCAATTCAACAGTCCGCCTTCAGATCAAATTCAGGTAATTTCAATTATTTAATATTTTTATTCAATCTGATCTCTCTCTCGTCACCGATCTTAAAACTATCCCCTTTCTGGGTTTTCGTTTTCTTTAGGGTTTTTATCGACAGCTCGCGCAATTTCACTTTTCTTCTTTATATATTACTTCTGAATTGCCTAATTTATTCATTAAATTTTGCATTTTTATGATACGGGTTTTTGTTTAATTCTAAAAATTTTAAAAGTTGGAATTTATTGATGATTTTCAATAATTTTGATTAATTTTTTTTATCTTATTCAATTGGGGTTAATTTGATTGTTAAATTTTGGATTTTTAAAAAATATTCTTCCAGTTTTGAATAATTGAGCTAATACCCTGTTCAAAAAGGTTTTTTTATTTTTAGTTAATTGAAGGGCTGTTCAGAAGTCATCAAGTATAGGTTTTTTTCTTAGAATTCAGCTCAATTTAGCATCAGGAAAAATGGAATTTTGTTGATGAATCTAATTTAGATTTGATCGCTTTAATTTTTTGGAGTTTTCTTGATATCTATCCTCTTTTCAATATAAGCTCATATCCAGTTGTAAAAAGAAAGTTCCTTTTCTTGTGAGTAATGTCCTGATTCTTCAAAAGAAGCCATCAAAGAGGGAAGAGAAAAGGGAAGGGTTTTCTCAGAATTAATGTTGGTTAATTTTGCAAGCTCAATGTAGATTTCTTTTAGTGTGTAATTTTAGCCTTTTGGTTAGATATTAATTTTTTTTTTTTGGTCATTTAAATCAGCTTTTGACTTGATAATTATTTGTTTAAGGTCAATGGCATCTTCTTCAGACCCATGGGTAAAAGAATATAACGAAGCAGTAAAAATTGCAGATGATATCAATGGCATGATATCTGAAAGGAGTTCCTTGCCTGCATCGGGACCGGAAACTCAGCGTCATGCATCCGCTATAAGAAGGAAGATTACGATTTTAGGGACTAGACTTGATGGATTGCAGTCCCTTTTGTCTAGACCTACTGGGAAGCCCTTGTAAGTAATTTAAATGATGTTGTGTTTAGTAATTTTGATCATATGTCTTCTGGTATAGTTAAGATATGGTACTTTGATGTTCTCTTGCAAATTGGAATGTGTTACGGTATGAAGAATAAACTGTCTTTGACAATTTATTGATGCTTTGTATTGGTCACAGAACCGAGAAGGAGATGAATCGTCGCAAGGACATGGTTGCAAATTTGAGATCAAAAGCGAATCAGATGGCTTCTGCATTCAACATGTCAAATTTTGCTAACAGAGATAGCTTACTGGGGCCAGAAATTAAGCCAGATGCCATGAGTAGAACAGTTGGTTTGGATAACTCTGGCCTTGTTGGTCTTCAACGACAAATAATGAAAGGCAAGTTATTTCAGTTTCAAATGGCATCCTACTAGCTTGTAAAATGCTTGAGTTTCCTCAACTTATGAGGTGCGTTTTTCAAGCAGAGCAAGATGAGGGTCTTGAGAAGTTGGAGGAGACAGTAATAAGTACAAAGCATATTGCATTGGCGGTTAATGAAGAACTTGATTTGCATACCAGACTCATTGTATGTTTTCTGTTTATTTCTTTTAATGGCTTTTGCGTTGAAAGAAATGCATGTTGAGGATTGATTTATCCTCCGTAAACTTTACATTATCTTATGCTCCCTCTGTTCAGGATGACCTGGACCAACATGTGGATGTCACTGACTCTCGCCTACGGGTAAATGCTTACTATTAATTTACATTTTATATTCATATCACAATATCATTCTTTCATTTTTGAATGAAACAAAATTCAATTACTGCAGTTTAATATTGTTATTCAGTCCACCCTACTAGCAAATATGATTCCTGTAAAATAGTATGCATCCTATTTTTTTACTTGATGATAATGAATTTAAGCCTCAGAACCCATAGAATATGTCATGTGGTGGGAATTCTTTGCTGATATATCACATCAGGGAGGAAGGAAAGAATTCATGGTCATTCAAGCAGCATTTAAAGAAGATCTCCTCAAGTAAACTAAGAATTATAGTATTCTTTGGCTGCTATTAGATGAAGCATACAAAGTAATTTGGAACTGCTGATTAATGTTGCATTTAGCTTTACCTTCATAATGTTTGTGACCATTGATTCGTTGGTGGTGTGAGCAACGACGGATCATTTGAAATATTACATATTCAAAAGGATGCATGTATTTTCTTACCTTTTGAAGTCCAGAATAATTTAAACTTTACCATCACTAATTTCGTACCAAAATGAAATTTTATTGTTATGGTAGATTCCAAAAATTATGTTTTCTTTGTTCATGTTTTTATGTAACAGAGAGTGCAGAAAAACCTGGCAATTTTGAACAAGCGTACCAAAGGTGGTTGTTCCTGTATGTGCATGCTTTTGGCGGTTATTGGGATTGTGGTTCTGGTTGTCGCCATATACCTACTGATCAAATACTTGTAATACCAACAACAACAACAACAACAAAAACAACAAGCTCGACCTTCTTGTTTGTGTGTGTTGTCGTGTGTGGAATTGGTTTTCAATTATTACTTCCATGTTGGAAACTTCTTATTTGGGTTTCTCTCCATCTTTTCCTTATATCTTTTTCGTGCTATGTGTGAAGATGCTGAGCTGTTCGAACAACTTTGTAAATTTACAAGTAATTTAAGTCTTGTCAGCACATTTTAACTCACCTCTTCTCTCTTAGCTGTTGATGATCCTTAAGCATTGCCGCCAGCAACAGTTCATTTGCTTGTCTGATGTATTTTTGAATGTGTTGTTGCAATCAATCTATATATAAATTGAGATGCAGAAATTAGTCTATCAAATTTCCACTCATGTGCTTTCTTAAAGAACGGTAATTATGAATCCGAAGTTTAGTTTAATTGCTTTACGTAGTCATACGGAGTTTAGTTCAATTATTTCATATAATTATTAAAATGATATGAAAAGGTTTAAAGTTTAAATTTTAACATCTATAATATTTTTTTTTCATCTGTGAATTCCGGCTTTTTTTGTAAAAGGTAATTATCGATTTTGTAGTAACGTTACAAAATTAAATTAAGTATTATTAATTCATAAATTAGTGTCACGTATTAAATTCTACAAATGAGATAAAAAATAATGTCACGTGTTTTTTAGCTAAAATTTGCCAAAGGTGTGGAGATGTGAATTTTACTTATACTTAATGGGAAACTTGGTTTTTCACCCAAATGGTAATTTAAAATATAACATAAAGATATAACATAAATATGATATGAATATAAGATACGAAAGTAACACGATTTAAAATTTTAGAAATAATTATATTTAAGTTTAACAAAATAAAAAAAAAATTTTATATTTTCGTGTCGACACGAATTATAATACTTAATTTTTATGTAAAATATAATACAAATATATGAATTTTAATATTTTATACGACACGAATACATGAATCATCAGGTCTAGATGGTATGAATATTACATTGTGAGGATGAAGATGTTGATGAATATGATTTTTAATTTTTTACCTGATACTAGAATGAGAATGGATAATATAGCACTTATCTCATAACCATATTTTTCATATATATATATATATATGTATTTATATATATTTAATAAATAGATTTTTATTAAATAATATAAATTATTATTTTAGATTAATTAGAATTAATATATTTTTATTTAAAGCATATTAATATATTTATTAAAAAATTACATAAAAATGTAAAATAAAAATTATAAAAAAAAGCTAAAAAGATAAATTTTGGTTTTTATTTTTTTTTAAAAGTTACATAATTACCAATGCCCAATATATACTAACAGGAGCTGAGGATAAATTTGAAATATCTCTTAGATATGGGTGGGTACAAGGATAGGGTATAATATAAAGTTTTTAGGATGAGAAATACTTTGTTTGTTTCATATCTTATCCATTGATATCTTTATAGGAGTATATTAAATTTTTTATTTAAAAAAAATAAGGGTTTAATTTATCTATATTTTTTCTCAAATTTCAAATCATAGATCATCGTTTATTAAAATAAAATATTACTTAATACAAGAAATTGACAATTATTTTATTTTACTTCTTAGTTTCTTACCTCTAATCGAGAGTTATATTGGGCTCTTGGCTCCAAAGCAGAGGTATATTGGGCTTAATATGAGCCCAAACTTTATTAGTAGGCCCAAATTGAAGCCCAACAACTACCCCCCATCTCCAATTAAGCCCTAAAACCATCCCATTGTCCCTGAATTTTCAGAACAGTTTATTTTGATTTTACACAACAAATTTATAGAAATTAGAAAGAAGAATGAGCAACGTTCCAAAAGAAGCCATTGAAGTGGTAGCACAGAGCATCGGAATTACCAATTTGTCTCCAGATGTCGCCCTTGCTCTTGCTCCTGATGTTGAATATCGCGTTCGCGAGATTATGCAAGTAAGTTCTTCTCCCCCCCCCCCCCCCATTTTTAATAAAATTAAATATTTACTGAAAAACCAATTAATTTTTGTTTTTAGATTTGTTCGTATGACCTGTTTGGATTTTTCTAATTCAAGCCATTATACAGGAGGCGATTAAATGCATGCGCCATTCACGGCGGACAGTTTTGACTGCTGATGACGTGGACAGTGCTCTTAATCTAAGAAATGTGGAGGTGCATTTTTTATTTCGATATATTTCTTCTGCTTATAGTAATTTTTTCATATATATATATATATGTATTTTTGTTAGTTAAAATGGTATTAATTCATGTTATTTCTTAGTATAATTTAGTTAAAAATCTATGAATTTTAATGATGGATTATATTTTGATTTGTTGGACTAATGTAATAATTAATGTAATAATTTCTAGTTCATGTGTTATAATCCATAGAATTTGATCAAAAAGTGGAAATTTTTGTTAACTGAAATTTGAAAGTTCCAATCTTTAGTTTTAAATTTGCTTATGTTTATGTTTTTCTCATGGATCAGCCAATATATGGCTTTACCTCGCGTGATCCGTTACGGTTCAAAAGAGCTGCTGGCCATAAGGATTTGTTCTACATTGATGACAAGGATGTGGAGTTTAAAGAAGTAAGAAATTATGGACAATATTAGAAGTTCCGTCGTAACTGCCTGTGTGTAACGATTTTTTCACTTATATTCTTGTATGGTGTCTTACGTTTGCAGGTGATTGAAGCGCCTTTACCAAGAGCACCACTTGATACATTGGTTACTTCTCACTGGCTAGCGATTGAAGGTGTTCAACCAGCAATCCCGGAAAATGCTTCAGTTGAAGGTACCCTAGTAGTTAACATTGATGGAATAAATAAATAACGACCCTCAATATTGAACGTCCTTTATCTATGTCCATAAAAGCTTCAGATTAGAAATTCAGATGCTTTTACTTAACACTATTCACTCTCATAGTTGTGTTCGTTTGTAGGTTTATCACTTTTATCTATTAAGACTTATCTTCATTTCTATGCTTAATTGTTATTTTGCTTTCCTTGCAGCACCTTCTGATGGAAAAAAGGCTGACTACAAGGAAGATGGACTTTCTGCTGATGTTAAATTGCCTGTTAAGCATGTGTTATCTAGGGAACTTCAAGTATGTTGGACATTTTTAGGAACATTTTGATGTTAAAGACTTTTTGCTGCGAAAGATATTAAAAGACTTATTTGGTTTTTATGCAGCTTTATTTTGACAAAATTGTGGAGCTTACCGTGAATAGATCTGTCTCTGATGTCTTTAAACAAGCATTACTGAGCTTGGCAATAGACTCAGGGCTACATCCTTTAGTTCCTTATTTCACATACTTCATTGCTGATGAGGTTGTCTTCAAGATCCTTTGAACCATATTAACACATGCATGCCAATAGAACCTTTAGTTGGTTATCTCAAGCATACATTTTCCCCACATTTATCTCAGGTTGCACGGAATTTGAATAATTTTCCTCTCATGTTTGCTTTGATGCGTGTTGCCCGGAGCCTTCTTAAGAATGAACACATACATATAGAACCTTATGTGAGTCCATTGTTACAATTATTTCAGAAGTTCTCAGACTAATGCATAATATTCCACTGTTTATTTTCTGCCTGATTTTTCCTTTTCTTTTAAAATTTTTTTCAGTTACATCAATTGATGCCATCTATTATCACCTGCCTTGTTGCGAAAAGATTAGGGAATAAATTCACGGACAATCACTGGGGACTTAGAAACTTCACAGCAAAGCTAGTGGCATCAATATGCAAAAGGTGAAGATTTGGTTCTTTTCCACTTACACATGCATGCGCACGTATGTGGTAGTAGAAACTTTCCAGTGCTAGAACAGAGAATTCCCCTTCCAAATTTATGAATTTTAGTTGTCTGATAGTTTAGTCTTAAACTTGACTTCCATTCCAAATCAGGGGCACATTCATTTTATGCTATTTTATACTTACAACACAAAGGTTGTGAACATTCTTTTATACACTGAATACATAGATCTATTACACGTGTTCCTGATGCAGATTAGTAGAGTATCTTACTTTGCATGCCTGTTCTTGATTGTTGTGGCTACTCTTTTTACTACTCTTTATACTTTGCATGTCAGCCACTGGTAGATTAGAAGGAAAGTTTTTAAAACTTAATTTTCAGCAAAATGATTTGTATTTTATATGCAAACTGTTACGTACATGTCTCACCGGTCAATATTTTGTAGATTTGGTCATGTTTATCACAATCTTCAGCCACGTGTGACAAGGACTCTGCTTCATGCTTTTTTGGATCCAACAAAAACATTACCTCAGCATTTTGGTGCAATTCGAGGGTTAGCAGCTCTTGGACCCAGTGTGGTATCCTTTATTCTCAACTATTTCTACGAGGAAAATAATAAGATATTTGTTTTGTGGGATTAATTGCCATTTTTACTGTCAAAGATACTGCAAGGATAGCTATTTTAAGCCCATTTCTTCCGAAAACACTGTTTTTATCACTCTTTTCTGCAAGATCTGAAGAAATAGATAAATTGAAAGCTAAAGTCCGATAACAAAAAATTGCATTTTCTTTGGCAATTTATTAATCATTCTATCACTTTGACCTAGTACTTCTGTATATTTTTTCTGTAAATTTCTTTATTTAAAGGTTTTACTAATGTCTTCGATGTCTTCTTTGGGTAGGTTCGTCTACTTATACTACCAAATCTTGAGGTGTATTTGCAACTTCTTGAACCTGAAATGCTACCTGTAAAGCAGAAGAATGAAATAAAAAGACATGAAGCTTGGTGCGTTTATGGGGCCTTGCTGGTGAGTTTACCATCCAATTTGATATCAGGCTACCTGCATCACTGCACGGATTTGCAGTTGCCGTTACTATGCTGCTGAACTAACAGTGCTGTAAAATTTCCACTATCAGCGTGCGGCTGGGCTGTGCATGTATGATCGACTTAAAATGTTCCCCGGTCTGTTAGGCCCCCCTACTCGTCCTGTCTGGAAAAGCAGCAGAAAAGTTGTGACAACAAGTACGATCTCTTTGAACCATAGATTTTATATACTTGATCCACAAGTCTCATTTTCCCCTCTTCCTTATGCTTTATTGTGCCTTTTTTTCCCCTGATTAATCAAGACAAACGCAAAGCAAGCACAGACAACTTGATGCAGCAACCACCGGTCAAGAAAATAGCTAGTGATAGTGCGATTGGTATGATGCCAATAAATTCCATGCAAGTTGATATGCAAGGGGCAGTTGGTGGCTTTTCTACCACTATAGGAGGTTCTAATATTGGTGCATCATCAATATCACGGCAGCGAACAAACGATAACATATCAGGAAGGGAGGTTGGTGGTCGAGTTTTAAGGACTTCAACTGTTCTTGCTCAGGCTTGGAAGGAGGACACAGATGCAGGGAACTTGCTAGCATCACTATTTGAACTTTTTGGTGAAAGCATGTTGTCATTTACCCCCAAACCTGAACTTTCCTTCTTCCTTTGATTTTAGTTATACCTCCAAAGGCAATTGTTGTTCACAGGAATGTGTAAATTATCTCCATAGTTCATCAGTCTTTGAAACTATAGATTGTAGGTATCTTTGTAAGCCAATTTTATGCTTATTATGTTGTTCTCATGGAATGTACAATGCTTGGCTGTTATTTATGCAGAAATAACAGAAATTTTGTCAAATTATTTAAGTATTGTTTCTATAACGTTCAAAATATCTAAATTTGAATGTAGAATTCAACTCAGTTGATCATGCGATCAGCTTTAAAAGGTAACAACCTCTTCTCTTATCTCAGGCTGTGGTTTCTTTGTAAAATATATATTAGATTACTCGATTATCCAAACATGTTTCACAATGCTTAACCTAAGCAGCTTGTTGGTATTTACTCTGATCACACAAACCATTCAATTGGACTCATCAAGTAAGGACAGGAAATTCGATTCATCAAGGCCTTCAAAGTTATGTGCTCTATCAATGTTCAATGGCTTCAAAACAATCTGGTTCACTCGATCAGAAACCAGTAAATTCTGACAGAATCAAAGAAAAACAACAATAACTATGTTAAAGAAGCTTCTATACACAATCGGGTCATTCTCAAACCATCTATCTTGTAAACTCTACCAGTGTCATCCATGCGATAGACGTCCACAACATTATAGAAGCTTTTCAGAATCATATCTTAAATTCTTTAATACTAATTTGTGTTATTTAATCATGGACAAATCTATTTTGCACTACTGAAAACCCATTAAATATCGCAGGGCACACAATCATAGAAACAAATGGCATCTGATACTCATAAGCTTCAAGATCTTTACACAACTAACAGCAAAAAAGCAGGAAGAAATAAGAGATCAAAGAAATTAGAAGAATAGCCTTCGTGGAGATGGTCTGGAGGGAACAGTTGAAGGAGATGATGAATTGAGGGGTAAGGGTATTCCCTTGATTTCTTGTCCCCCTGTGACTTTGTCAATCTGTTTTGCAGCCTTGGGGTCTGTTAATAGCGTCTTCTGAAATGACTGTGAGAAGCCCGTAGCAATAATAGTCACATGGATCTCCCCATTGTAGCGGTCATCCACTACAGCACCAAATATGATGTTAGCAGAAGGATCTGCCAAACTTGTCACAACCTGAAAATGAACAGAATGTACTACAGATTAAAATAGAAAATTCTCCTGATAATATCTATGGACAATAAGAAAGCCTAAAACTTGGAAGAACTTAATTTGGAAGGTATTTTATTTTCCATAAATACGATAAGATAGTTTCCCATTAAATGAGCAAACAAGAAATCAATGGCTCATAAAACCATAAGTACCTGTGATACTCTGTTTACTTCCTGCAAAGTTATATCTTTTCCTCCAGTGATATTATATACCACCCCAGTAGCTGACTGAATTGATGATCCAATTAGGGGAGCCAAAGTTGCTTGTTCTGCTGCTTCTTCTGCACGGTTTTTGCTAGAGGAAACTCCTACCCCAAGCATTGCAGTTCCAGAATCTTTCATGACTGCCTTAACATCTGCAAAATCCACGTTCACCAATCCAGGTATCTGCCAAAACCAAGGAAGAAATTTCAAGGAAGAAATTTCAAGAAGTGAAAAAGCTCAAAACCAGAAAATATAACAGGAAAAGCAACCATTAAACCAAGTTCAAATGGTATGAGCATTTATGGCCTAGATGATAACAATTCATGCATTATTATATATACTCAATAGTTATTGTATAATCAAGGTCGTGATGGTTAACTGGAACAGTTATATAGAATCTAAAACTTCTAAAGACAGTCCATTCTAAGAATATGTAGCTTGGCATATGACAGAATCTCAGACCGTGATTATATCTGAAATTCCTTGGACCCCTTGGCGCAGAACATCATCAGCAAGAAGAAAAGCATCTTGCAGAGGTGTCTGCTCATCAGCAATATCAAGCAGACGGTCATTGGGAATCACTATGAGCGTATCAACATTCTTTTGCAACTTTTCAATAGCCTCCAGTGCCTGCAAACATAGAGATATAAGACAATTATTTTGACATTAAAATGATTGAAAATTTGGTGGCATATCAATTTATTGACATGGTTTTATTGTGTAACCCAAATGGTTCTGTACTAGACTAGGATTTCACACTATAATATCTTCCACTATCTAGAGCATAATGTGGAGGAGTTAAGTGCACATGCCTGCATGGTTCTTTTACGTCCTTCAAAGCTGAAGGGATAGGTTACCACACCAACAGTCAAATAACCAGCCTCTTTCGCTATCTGGGCAACAACTGGAGCAGCACCTGACCCAGTGCCTCCACCCATGCCAGCAGTTATAAATACAAGATCTGAACCCTTAAGAGCATTTGCAATGGCATCTCTGGATTCCTCCGCAGCTTGTTCCCCCAAAAGTGGATTTCCACCAGTGCCTAAAATTTGAGTCGATTGATTCACATCATTAACATGTATAAAGCAAAGGAAAAAGCCATACATTAAATCACAAGGAAAAATGATGTTTTTATTGAATGAAACAAGAGTGCCTGACCTAGTCCACGAGTCAAAAGCTCTCCAATTTGAAGTGGGTTCTCTGCAGCAGACTGTAGTAGTGCTTGAGAATCTGTGTTTATCGCATAGAAATCAACACCCTAATCCCAAAACAAAGCAGCAATAACATCAGTAATTGCCTCCATGAAAGTAAAACATTGCGGCAACATTAATACATTTACCACCAAAGTCCCTTAAATTATCATCTCCATTACCCTCATCTAGCCAGTCTAAATTCTACCAACCAAAATCTAAAGTAAAGGAGACAAGTTTTTAGCTCATGTAGCAGCAAAGGCACATTCACACAGAAACTACAGACTTGACTAAAGGTTCTATATAGTAATCGGAAACACTAATTACCAAAATGGCACTGAGTTTATACAAACGAAAACTTGAAATTGGTTTAGAGCTTATATTTCCCAATTTTTCAAGGCAACAACCAAACCCATTAAATGAAAATGTTGGCTAAAACCCACCATCAAAGTCACTTCAAAAATAACACTTTCAAGTTTCAGAGTCCAAAAAAATGCGGAAAAACACAAAAATTCTCCAAATTCTCGAACTTTAAGCTAAAAGCACTAACAAACCAGCTTTTAAATTTGACATTCTTTTAAGTTTGAGAGTACAAAAAACCCACAAAAATTCACAAAATTTTCAAACTTTAAGCAAAACCCAATTGAGAAAAGCTGAAAACCAACCTGTAAACCACTACCAATCATTCGATTAACAGCATTGTTACCACCGCCACCAACACCAACCACCTTTATCTTAGCAGTTTCCATAGGAGCAAATGAACAGCTTATCCCTCCAAAACGGTGATGTGTCCTCAACATGCTTCTTTTCAAAGGCTTTTTTGAAGAAAAACATGGCTTTGAAGAAAACAGTGAAGATGTTGTTGATATTAAATCCTTTGTGTTTGTTACTTTAAGTGTTGCCATGTTTAAAAAAGGAAAAACAAAAAAAGTCGCAAAATTTGGTTTTTAATGATATTTATACGATTTGAGGATTTTAGGGTTTTAGAGAGATTTCAATAAAATTTCAATTTCAAGCGTAAGGAAAAATACTGTTTCTGAGAGACCACTTAAAGATTAGATGCGGCTTTTTTTAGCGGTCTCAGGTTTTAGCTAGAAAACGTTCAAACGACGTCGGTTGCTCTTTTTTGTCGATTTTTACCTCTTATTTTTTAAACAAAATTTTAATTATTAGTATTTCATACATCATTATATCGTTTTAATAACGAGAGTTACTCAAATCAGATATTAAAATATTCAAATTTAATTTGATAAATCAAATTACTCAAACTCAACTCATAATGATCAAATTAAATTTAAATTTTATTTGAACCGAATCTAAATAATTTATAAGCGTTGTATCATTTACCCACCTACCTTCAACCATCCATTTAGGTCAAAGATTAATCATAAAAGAGCTCTTTCAAGTATTACCATTATAAACAAAATAGGCGTTCTCAATGTAATGTTGGATACACTGAAGTCATGAAGGGCATTGCTATTTTTCCCGTTCAGCTTGTAATTTTTATCAAAATGAATATGAGGTGATATAACACATGAGAAAATGATAGCATCAAGTGCCAACACAATACCAATTCATAGTCCATGCTCGAATAAGGATTACATACAAAATCAACATGAAACGACACTGAAAGATCCGCGATAACTAAATTCAGATATTCCTCAGTGGCCAATCCACAATCCACGTTTCTGGTTTACCGATAATCTTCGAAATGATTTTGTGTAAAGAACTTCACTCTCCTTCACTCAAAATGGGGACAATTAGTGGTTTCATTTGTGCAAGATATACAATTGCCCACCTATCAAAGCAAAAGGATTAATGTTACAAACTAAAAAGGCAATGAAATAAGACATGTTTACTTATTAAGAGAGCTCTACACAAAAGTAGCTTCAAAGATTAATTTCCTCGGAGTCACTTGATAAAGATGCATAGCCATGTAGCGAATGCAGGACATAAGCCATGAGTATGAACAGTATACAAGCATTCACGACGAAGACAGGAGTATATGGTTAAGTAGTGAATGGTAAGGCATCAAATCAGAGAGTGCCAAAGGCAGAAGGGTTAACATATTTAGTGTTCTTTTGAATGATAAATTCAGAACTTTATCATCTACCATCGAAAGCTATGAATCCACCTAATTCCACCAATCATTATTCAGCAATCATAGCAACCATTGAAGTCTCACAAGTTGGTAGCATAGCACAAGAGATCAAGGTACTTATAGAGCTCAGCCATTAACAAGGTGGCCTATTAAGTGAATTCATAGCTAAAGAACCTATTCATCAAACTATACAAAATATTATTCTATTTTTATGACAAATTCTTTGTAAACATTTTAGATTAGGTCTTTGCAAAGCCATTCAAGTTTGGCATATGTCAACATGCAAAATTAGAACTAAAATATACACAACGAAGAAAAGCAATATCTCATTGTAGAAATGTGAGGAAGAAAAATACAGGCATCATACTCTTCATCTAAACAAAATTTTGGAACGGCAACATAGCCAAAGGAAGCTGAATCTTAATAGTCATCACAGTTTGAAGATTTCAGATTGTTACTACTTTACAAACAGTATCTATAACAAAAATTAAGATACCACTGAAGAAATAAAAAATGTAAAAAAAACATGAACTTACATCATCCAACAACAGACTGTTGCTGTAATGACCAATGTTAGGTGGAACCTGCATAAGAAAACAAGGAAAATGGTTTACAATGAAAATCTAAGAAGGCAAACAAAAGAAAACTTCCTAGTCTCCAGATGACAAACCAGGCCATAGTATATCAAAACATGGTGTTGCATAATGAAATCCTGGCAGATCAGTTTGTTAAATCACCAATCCGTTACCCAACACCATGATAAGCGATAAGATTCATTCCAATTCAGAGTAAGCAACCACAGAACAAATAATTCAACATTGGTTCACAGTGCTAAGTTTCTATTCTATCTAACAATCCCACTTACAATACCAAATTGAAGCATAGTTCATCAATGTATACCAATCAAAATGTACCCTTTAAACGTAATTAAAGCAACATTAAGCCCCGATTGTGAAAAAGCTACAACTTTTAGCACATGAAATTTAAATCCAAAAAAGCCTAATAAAAAAAGCAAATTAATTCCAACAAAGAAAGAAAATTTGCTAAAAAGGCACTTACAGATTAGCAGAAGGACCTCGGTTACAGCAGATTCTTGTACAAAGAGATGCAATTATCCCAATCACAGCAAAAATTAGGGTTGTTACCAAGAAACCCATATTATAGATCTCGATTTCCTGCAAAAAGAAAATTGAAGATTTTTCAAAACTTCGATTTGGGTCTCAACAAAAACAAAAACAAATTTCGGGGATCAGATGTAATTCCACTTAACCTTCTGTTTGGTTTCTGAGAAAATACAAGAAAATAACAGGAATTGGGATTTTAAAGTTTGCGTTTGGAAATTGGAAGCTTCGTTTTGTTTAAGTTTTAGTTGTTTGGTTCGGATCTTCGACCCGTCTCTTTAGGCCCAAATTTGAAGTAATGGGCTAACATTCGGCCCATACTAGGCTCAGATAGCAAAAATCTTGCCCAATTTTAAGTAAATGGGCTCAAGTATTGGCCCATAAGGGAGTTTGGTCTTTATGGGCTAAGCAGGCCCAATTCGAGCTGTGGGTGTTTATTATATCTAGTCCTATAAAATATTAATATTTATATATTAATATTATATTTTATACAAAAATTAAAAATTATAATTTCTATCGATACTAAAATATAAAATATATTTTTTTAATTTTATTAAATTTATATATAATTTTTACTTAAAATTTAATCTATATTATGTTTTATTTTTTTATCTTATTATTTTCGTGTGGTGTGCTATCCGGTGTTGGATTGTGAGGTTTAATTATATCCTAAACTAAATTATAAAAGGAAAATTACGGGATGAGATTGGAGAAATAGACGTGAAATTTGGGGTTAATTTTGAAAGTTACTTAAAATATAAGACCTAAACGAGTAAAAAACAAAACAACAATGGCACCATAGCAAAAACCTCAAAGAAACCAAAGAGAAAGCCGCAGAAAAGAATGGTGCCACACTTCTAAAATATTTCACTGACTCCCAAGTTAACGAAAAGCTCCTGAGGTTCACAGATTTGGGAGGCTTTAGCCTTTGAATCTCGGCCTGACTACTATTTCTGGGTCTTTCAAAAGAGAAACATGTCAGACCTAGACAGGCAAATAGAGCAACTAAAGAAGTGTGAACCCTTGAAAGAATCTGAAGTGAAAGCTCTTTGTCTTAAAGCCATGGAAATCCTCGTTGAAGAAAGTAATGTTCAAAGGGTTGATGCCCCTGTTACTGTAAGTATTTGCATGTTCTTTATACGGGTTTTTGTTATATTTTTACCCTGATGGTTTATTTTAGGCTATTGGGTTGGTTTTTCATTGGGGTTTGATTTAGTGAAACTAAAGGTTCTAGCTTTGTGTTAATGAGTTATAGGAATTTATTGAATTGTTTTGGTTAATGATTTTTTTCGCTTTTTGAATTTTATTGACTTTTTAAAGCTTGGTGCTTATGGAGATGTTGTGTATATTTGTATTTGGGGCAAGAAATGAGATGTAATTGACTAGGGTTTGAAGGAAACTTGATTGAAGAAAATGTCTTTCTTTAAAGGATTAGAAGCTGTGATTTGGTTAGAATGATTGAATTTGGTTAAAAGAGACAAAAATTTATGTATCGGAGAATTTAACAAGGATGGAAGTCAATGATAGAAATGATGGAAGTAGGATTTAGGGTCGTGAAGTTTGGCGAAATTAAGAAAATATTTACAAGGGTGATGAGATTTTATTTCAATGGAACAGTACTGCCAAGGGAATTTAGGTTGCTTTTCAGGTTCTCAAGTCTATAACTATAAGCCTCTTAAACTTAGTACCATCCTTTCCTTTGTCATGAACTTAGAGTTTGCAGGATGTCGTGCTGGATTGGTGTTATGTCTATGATGTAAGCTATTGGTACATCTGTGCCGTGCAGGTTTGGATCATTGTTACTTCCTGGAAAACTTGGCAGGGGATACAGTTACCTGGAAATAGTTTATAGAAACTTTGATGCTGTTTTGAATTTGCATAGTAACCTTATGCTATTTAGAATACTTATACTTCTTTGATGTTTTTGCATAGATATGTGGTGATATCCATGGGCAGTTTTATGATATGAAAGAGCTTTTTAAAGTAGGAGGTGATTGCCCTAAGACAAATTATTTGTTTCTTGGAGATTTTGTTGACAGAGGGTTTTACTCTGTGGAGACCTTTCTACTTCTATTGGCCTTGAAGGTAAACTATCCTTTATAATTTTCTTTTGAAAGGTGTATTGGATCTTTTCTCTTCTTCTTCTTCTTCTGATAATTTGAGCATCATCAGGTGAGATATCCAGATCGCATAACACTCATTAGAGGGAACCATGAAAGTCGTCAGATCACACAGGTTAAAAAAATTTATTTGGCTACTCTATTTTAGATTCTTGTGTTTCTAGAGTATTCAATTACTTTCATTTCTTGACAGGTATATGGATTCTATGATGAGTGTCTGCGTAAATATGGCTCTGTGAATGTTTGGAGATATTGCACTGACATATTTGATTACTTAAGGTTTGCCAGTTTCCATTATGAGAAAATATAAATTATCCAGGACGCCTGCAGGTTGGAGGGGCAGTGATGTTTCAGATTGTGGAGTGGCAATTGAGTTGTTTTTATAAGGATGGTTTAATGCAGTATCTTGATATTTGATCGTATAATGAATTTTGGTTTTTGTGCCAGTAAAGAATTGTGAAGGGAGCAATCGAGTTTCTTATATATTATTCACAATTAAACTGAAGTTGACAAGTGCAGCTTTCCCATATTTGTTGTCTGGATTAAGTTCCTTTTGTCGTATAACCACAAAGTGTTTTGTAGTTCATTGGATTAGCCAAAGCAGGTGCCATGTTTTATTCTTTTTATTTGATAAGGATTGGGGGCTTTGGCAGCAGCTACTCTTATCATCTTCTCATTTTTTTTTATGTAGTGTCTTGTGTTATGACAAAACCTCAAAATTCTACCATTTAGATGCTTTTTAGAACTTCTCGGTATCAAGCCTTCTTTGTTGTGTCTGTGAGTTGATACTCCACCAGCAGTTCTAGCTCCCTCCAATGCGCTTTCTTCCAGTCCCATTAAGTTACTTGCTTTACTGTCTATATTCAACTATTATATACAAGGTCTTTTCTGATGATTTTTTATTTTATCAATTACTGTATGCTAGTCTTTCAGCCCTTATTGAGAACAAAATTTTTAGCGTCCATGGTGGTCTCTCTCCTGCAATATCTAATTTGGATCAGGTCAAAGAAGCTATCTTAAATTATTTGGTAATTATTGTGTAGCTTTTTATGGATGGTACTAACTTGATGCTTCTTCCAGATTCGAACAATTGATCGAAAGCAAGAAGTACCTCATGATGGTGCCATGTGTGACCTGTTGTGGTCAGACCCTGAGGATATTGTTGATGGCTGGGGATTGAGTCCTCGTGGTGCTGGTTTCCTGTTTGGCGGCAGTGTTGTCACTTCATTCAACCACACAAACAACATTGATTATATATGCCGTGCACATCAGTTGGTTATGGAAGGATACAAATGGATGTTTAATAACCAGATTGTCACAGTCTGGTCAGCTCCCAATTACTGTTACAGGTAAATTATTAATTTGAGATTTCCTCTTCGATTATGCCGTAGCTTAATGGTTTATTCTTGCATGTGTTGCAGATGTGGTAATGTTGCTGCAATTCTTGAGCTGGATGAGAATCTTAACAAGCAATTTCGTGTGTTTGATGCAGCACCACAGGTTTGTACATAATTTATGTGCAATTGACTGCAAAATGTAAAAGCCTAGGAATAATTTATGTGCAAAAATTGCATGAAACGTTTGGTAATTCAATTTTTTACATGGGACAAGCTGTTACTATCTGCACCATATTACTATCTTATCAAGTGGTGTCTCTTCAAAGTTTTTCTTCTCCCTAGGCATGCACTTTCTGTTAAGTAGATTACATTGTATGGCTTACTGGAGGTTTATTATCAAATGCAGGAATCAAGAGGTACTCCTGCCAAAAAGCCTGCTCCAGATTACTTTCTATGAAGCGGATATGAAGTTGTATCTTTTCTAGTCCATTACACTTAAATTGATCGATGAGAAGATTTATAGTCACTTGGCGCATATGTTAGCCTATGGTAACAGAAAAATCAATGATAGGCTACTCAATGATTAGCAAGGATCAAACTTTTGATTTATGATGAGATTGCGTTGTTGGGCTTGCCTTTGTTGTTTGTCTGCACCAATTTGATCGATGTGTGCCTGTAATAGTAGTGTGTGTTAAGTAGCATGCTATGTGCTAGTGAATCCTTGGTATATTTCCTCGTAATTGTAGGGCAGAGGGGAAGAGCAAGAGAGAGAGAAAGGGAGAGAGAGTAGAGACAGTGATTCAACAAGAATTCCATTAGGAACAGAGGAGAGTGACTTGTTGCAACTATGATTCTTATATGAGAATTTCTCAAATTGGTTTTGTACACCACTCTGTGCCATAGAAGTTTATTTGTCAAATGCTACCATGTTTCTTTGTTTCATCTGTACAGGACCCTGAACGAATCTGCATCTTCTTGTTTGGAATTTTATTGTCTTTGTTGTGTTTTCTTTCCATTTTTCTTCATTCCCGTATGCCAGTGATCCCCATTGTCATCCACAGAGCTGGCTGAGCTGATTGAAACACTTTTTTTTTTTTCCCATTATTTTCTTTTCTTCCTTTGTCAACTTCAGTTGGTTATGATCATCTTTTAAACTTTACATATTGGTTTGAACCGATTAATCAATGATTTTTTCTGATGGTAAACCTCAGTTGGTTATGATTATCTTTTGAACTTTACATATTGGTTTTAACAGATTAATCAATTATTTTTTCTTGCCTTACCATCAGAAGACCATAACAAGATAATTCTAGCTTTATGCGAATCTTGTGCTTGGTTCTTCTGAAAAAGATAAAGTGACAGTGAGTAGCACGTGATCCTGCTCTTTTGGTCAGATGTTCTTACAAGTGTCCCAATTCCCAAATCAAAATAATGAAGATAATTCCAAATAACGTCAACCAAGTAACAACAAACACCATGGACTTCAACGCTCATTATTCCACTTGTTGGTTTCAAAGTTTTTGTCTTGGAAGTAAACCTCCTCAGTTGTTATTAGAAAAAGAAAAAATTATCCTTAATTTTACCATTTCATTGAACAAGCTCTGAATTTTTCATGCTTAAATCTCTTCTAAATCCATGGCTAATGTTCTATCCTTCATAGTTTTTTCATTTCTACTCATTCCTGCAAGTACCCTTCTTGAATCCAACCAAGAGGGATACATATCTACTGTTTTATCCAATAAGGGTCTTAATTTTGCTAAGGATTTGCTGGTTGAGAAAGCTGTTTCTTCTATAATTCCACTTCAACTGTCTGATATTGAGAAGTCAATGAAAATCCCAGTTATTGGCAAAGTTCATCTTGGTCTGTCTAATATCGTAATTTACAGTTTCGATGTTGCTTCTTCATCAGTTGACACTGGAGACTCTGGTATTGTTTTAGTTGCTTCTGGTGCTTCTGCTAATTTGAGTATGGACTGGAGGTATTCTTACAAAACTTGGCTAGTCCCTATTGCTATTTCTGATCGAGGAACTGCTACTGTTCAGGTATGGACTAACAGTTTTTCACTTTTGCTTTAACTTTCTAAGAACTTTGAAAGAACAACACAATAGATACTTTTTCTTTTGTGTCTTTGCCATAGTTCTTTCAGTTTAATTAAACTTGAAAAGAAGGTTCTGCTTGAATGGTTTGTCTGTTTCAGTTTGATTAACCTGTCTATGTAATCCTAAACTGATGATGTTTCGAAGTTTTATACTCTATAATTGGGAATTACACAGTTTCTTCCTGGTTTTATGAGATGCCATTTGTTAGCCCCTCTTTCTATGGACTGATTTTGGTTAATATCTTCTTGTTTCAAAGAACCCACTCTTATCCTAACTTACGGATGGCAGAGGATCAATCTGTAAACACAGCAAACAAACAAATCTAGATGATTCGATCATACTGAATTGTTGTTTTGAGTAAACAAACAGTTGTGAATGACTTGACAATGAATTTCAAGTCGAATTGACTAATCCAGTCTACTTTTCACATTCATAGGAGTTCATGTACGTTTCCTAGTTAGCACGCAACAGTTCACTGGGCGTTACACCTTTACCAAGCTAAACCATGTCCATAACTTGTGGTAGAGCTAGGGAGGCTTGAATGCTTATTCATTATCCACATCTTTACCTAGGCAAAATAGTTTGGTACTTATCGAGGAAGTGTTTTGTTTCATGGACAGATGATGTATGAAATACATTAAGGCAGATGAAAAAGGTTAACAGATTGCATCCGAATTCTGAAATTACTAGGAAATCTAGCAAGGCCAACATCTTCAAAAAGATGTGATTTGGTTTTGCAGTAAAGCAATAGAGCAGAAATTAAAATTTGTTGAAATATTGCCTATAGCATCAATGATGAAATCTGTAGGTAAATGATGCAAATAGTTGATCTGGCTCTTTCAATCTCTTCTCTATGGTTATAGGAATAAATCTGCATAATGAAATTAAACAATGTATAAGTTTCATAGGAAATAATAAATAATTTGACAAACCAATTATCTGTGGTTTACACGGTATCAACAGCTTTAATGATATGGTCAAAAAATGCTCTTGGTTTTCAAATTAAAGGAATGGACATCTAGAATGAGATAAAACTTTGATTGGTCAGATGCTTTGTAAACCTATTCTTTATGCTTGCTAGTTCATAAGCATCATTTGCTGCTTCTGCATAGGTTCAAGGTGTGGTAATCTGGCTTAATGCAGCTATAATAAACCAAGAAGGAACTCTCAAGCTATTGTTACTGTACTGTGGATGTCATGTGAAAGATATCTCCATAAATGTGGATGGTGGAGCGTCTTGGCTTTATCAATGGTATGCAATCATTGCCTATTCGGGCACTATTCTGTCCTTGAACATTCAGATTTGATAACTTTCCATGTTAATCTCCTACAAAGCTAACAGGTCCATGGAATCAAAAACATCAATTTTGAGGTGTCACATAAACATCTGATTCTTGGATGATTAGTTTCCGTTTTGATCTTCTGCTTGAGATCAATATCATTCCTGTTAAAGATATTTTATGCTTATTGCATTTAGTCATCTCATTATCCAGGATCATTGATACTTTCCAAGGGAAAATAGTATCTGCAGTTGATGATGCTATTATCAAGAAGATCAGAGAAGGGATAATAAAGCTTGACTCATTATTGCAATCACTTCCCAAACAAATGAAAGTTAATGATGTTGTTGCATTAAATGTTACTTTTGTGGATGACCCCGTGTTGAGTACTTCTTCTGTGGAGCTTGAAATTAATGGTTTATTCAATGGAGCAGATGGAATTTCAGTTTCAAACTACCACCTTAAAGGATCACAAAGTTTCCTTTCCAGCAAGGGTTCAGCAAAAATGGTTGAGATTTCATTACATGAAAAAGTTTTTGAGTCTGCTGCATCGGTATACTTCCATGTAAGTTTCTATGGTGTGAAGTGTGAATCTTAGATTTTCTTGTGATTCAACAAGGAACCAGTTGGAAGTTTCTTTTCTTTTGTAATACTTTCAATAGGTTTCTTCCTTTAAGAGAGAGACCTGAAACTGGAGATCCAGAGGTTGATAGGAAAATTGGATACCGCAATCATCTTCAAAATCCCGAGAGCTAACTTTGCTTTCGATTCAAGTACCAAAAGCTGTTAGGCTGATCTTGACATTGCAGAAAATCACATCTAGAATATACTTAATCACAATCGGATAGTTAAACTAATGCACATATGTTCTTTTGGTGGTCAGGCAAATTATATGCAATGGACCGTAGACAAAATACCTGATCAGTCACTGATGAACACTGCTGGATGGAGATTTATTATACCTCAACTATATAAGCAATATCCAGACGATGATATGAATCTTAGTATAGCAGTAACTTCTCCTCCGATCATACGAATCTCAGATCATGATATTGACACCACCATTTATGCAGATTTCATTATTGAAGTTTTAAATTCTGGTGAAACTGTGCCAGTCACTTGCATCTCATTGGTATGCTTGATAGATATGACTTAGAACTTGGGAAGCCGATTTTTGTTTTATTTTGTTATTGCAAGCTTTCATGCAATTGTATTTGGTTGATGCAGGTGATGAGTGCATCATGTTCTGCAAAAATATATAGGAATAACCTTGCCGGTAGCATTAGGCTGCTCAACTTCACAGCATCTTTGAAGTGGAGTAATATCGGTAATCTTCACATGCATCTTGTTCAGGTATAATCCATTTTGAGCTCTTTTCAATCCATAGGAAGCCTTGCAAGTTTCTGATGCAATTGAGACATCAAAATAATTGCTAGATTATGCATTCAATACGTTGTTTCGAGTATAAACATGCATGGAAGCACCTTCGAAACATAGTCCAACCATACGGAGCAAGATTATACGAAAAAATGTTGAGACATGTTCATGTAGGTTCATTGTGTTTTGAAATTAATGTGGCATTAACAAACTACATAAGAAGATAGTATATGCATCTGATGAAGTCTGGCGAATGTTAATTGGTGCAGGCTGTAATGTCAACCATCCTCAAAACCTTTTTCATGCCATACCTCAACTTACATCTTAGAAGAGGGTTTCCTTTGCCACTTCCCCATGGTTTTACACTTCAGAATGCTGAAATCATCCGCCTTGATTCGAGGGTTACTGTTCGCAGCGATTTGAGCTTCTCAGACAGATATGATTCATATGATCTCAACCGGCTACCAATTCATTTGGTAACAGCTTGATGTGCATACTAAAATCAACTGTGTTAATTGTTATGTACATAATTATGTCCAAATGAAAGCTGAAATATCATATTTTCATAGTATATCTCTTTATTATGTTTAAGTTTTGTAGGTTTTTTGGTTGTACTTAACAACTTTGTATTTTTCGTTAAAGGGTTGAGAAAAAAAATAAAAAAAATCAAAAATCGATTCTCGTAGTGTTCATTCAGTTTGAAATTAACTTTTTTTTTTTTTAAATTCGATTGAACTCAAATTTAGATATTAAATATATATATATATATATTTAGTTCTGATCAAATTTCGAATCGAGATGTAAAAAATTAAAAAAAATAAAATAAAATTAAATTATATATTTTTATTTATTTATATATTTTTTAAATTTTTATAAAGTAAAAATAATTATTTTATATATAAATTTATTTAAATATATTAAAATCTTATTAAAATAATATATAAAAAATTTAAAATTTAAAATTTAAAAACTAATAAATCAAATCGAATTAGTAAAATTTGATTTAGAAAGAATCAATTTTAAGAAAAAATTGGTTCAGATTTAATCGAATTTTAAAAATTTATAATACTATACATTATATAAAAAAATTGTGAATTCGAAAAATTTTCAGTGTAAATTGAAAAGAGATTAAAGTAGGGACTGAGTAAATATGATTTAGTTCTTCTTAAATGGTGTGTTTTTCATAAATTTATTACATGCGGCGTACATAAATCTGTTTGAACTGATACAAATATAATAGGCAAAATTCAAAAACATTATTAATAAAAAAAATTGATCTATTTAAGGCAAAAGAAAAGATTGGCTTTTTGGGCTGAGCTTGTTTAGGCCCAAAAGATAAAGACAAAGATCTAACTCTTTGGGCTGGGCTAGCCCTGGACTGAACCACATTAACTAAGCCCAAACTTTTTTTTGATGACGTGTTTAATTCTCGTAGCTCATTTTACCATCACCGCAAACCCTTCACCGTACAGAAATCCCAAACCCTAGATTTATTTGCCTAAAATCCCCAAATTACCATACCCCAAACCCGATCGGATCTCAACAAGCCACCCGGTTTATTTAAATTACAAAACGCCCCCAAAACAAACCATCTTTTTTCCCTTTCGTCATCTACGGTCTCAAATCTCTTCTTCTTTCGATCATCACTCTTCTCCCTTCCTTTCCCCCTCCCCCCCCCTCCCCCCCCCCCCCCCCAAAAAAAAAAAAATACTAAATAACAAAATCTATTCTCCAATTTACCCGCCAAACAGTTCCTTGAATTTTTTTTAACCTCTCTAACTTTTAAAATTTCCCAATTCCCCCCTCTAGTCTTTCTCTTTCTCCCTCTCCCCTTCTCTCGTTCTGGTTCTTGTCTCTCGTCAGAGAAACAACGTCGCTTTTGGGTTAATTTTTTCAATGGATCCGGATGTGGCGATCGACCAAAACGCAGCGTTTGAGTCTTCTACGGCGGTAGGAGAGAAAAGAGGGATCGAAAACGGGGCCGTGTCCCTGGCCAAGAAGCAGCGATGCGGTGGGGAGTTAAAGAGAGTGGCGGAGATAGTGCTTGTGCTGTCGGCGATGGGGAAGATGAGAGGCGGAGGGAGGAATCCTACAGCGGCGGAGACGGCGTTGATGGCTGAGGCTCGTGAGACGTTGGCAGAGATGTGTGAAGAGATTTCCCCTAAGGATATTGTCGGGAGGGAAGCGATTGGGAATGTAATCGAAGAATTGGGGCTTAATTCAAAACTCAAAGAGCAGAGATTAGGGTTTAGGGGTATGGGAATGTCGATTTTTCAGAAGGTTTTACTTGCTAAAATTAAGGTAAAAATGGTATTAAATTTATCATTTTTTTTTAATTTTTGGGGATTTGGATTATGGGTAGGGTTTATTTTTTATCCTTTTAATGAATTTTTGGAATAATTTGGTTTTTATGTGGTCGTGAATTATGGGTACATTTGGATTTGTTTGAATGTTATGATTTTTTTATTTAATTCATTTGATTTATGTTGGTCAATTTAATTTTTTCTTGCAACTTATATTATAATTTGTCCTGAAATTGAGGTCTGCCAAAAAGGCTTTTTTTGCTTGTAATTAGGAAAGTTAAAGGTTCCAATGTGTTGCAAAATTTCATGTTTTTGTAGGTTTTTAAAGCGAATTTTCCGGTGTTAATGGTTTAAATTGCTCTTAAGAAGAAGGTATATTTGGGTTTAGTAACTGTAGGCAGGTTTTGGTCATTTTTAGTCTGATATACTCTGTGGCTTAGTTGTTATTTTCAGGGGTTCATGGTTTTGGTCACTGAAAATGGACTTGGCTTAAAGCGGTTGCTGAGTATAGAGTGAAAAGATGCATTTCAATATAGGTTGTTTGCAATACCATTCTACCATGGAATTGTAATTTGATGTGCGGTTTTATTTAGCTTCTTGAACGGCTTTTTTTAATAGCAAGAATAGTTATTAATCCTGCTATCTATAGGAATCTTGCTATAGTTTTCCTAAATTGTGCAAGGTGCATTTCATGATATGTATGACTGGCATAGGTATTATTAACTTTTTTGCTAGCAAATGCTTCTTTCTGTGATCTATGTGCTGCCAAGCTTTTGCAGATTTTATTTGATTTTATTGAAAGAACATCTTTGTTGGACATGGTAAATGATGGAAAAGTTTGTGATATTTAAAGTACTTAGGATTATATAGGAAGGTGAGTGTTTGATTACTTTATTGCTTTTGCAGATGGAAGAACCCAAGAAATTTGCTGCACCTGCTTCGTATACATCTCAGTCATTGCAAACAAATGTTGGTGGATCAGCGGAAAACCGTGGAGCATCACATGCAGCTCGACCAATTCATGCAACTGTATCTTCTGGAGGTTTCCCGGTTTTGTCTCCTCCTACTCATGTTATAGCAGCAGGTTCAACTCCCTTACAGCATCAGTTGCCCACCAGCGATGTAAAAACGCCCACAATGTCCACTGGACTGCCAAGTGGCCATTTAGGAAGGGACTCATCTTCATTTGCATATCCCAGGGTTGAAAGACCGCAAATTAAGTTTGATGGAGGATCAAATGTGGCTTCTTATGTCTCCCAAGTACCAGGTAATTCTCTGTTCCACCATGTCTCCTTCCCTTGGTAGCAAAGAAAATTGAAGGACCCTAATATCATTCGGAATTTTTCGAGCTTCGTATTTATTGTTATCTAGAGATTTGATAATATGGCCTACTTATTTTTTGGGCAGTGGTGTTGTTTTATGGTTATCAAATGCTCATGCTTAGTCTAGCTAATTCTAATACCATGTTTTCTTTTCCCAAATATTCTGCTATTATATGACGATTATTCTTTCCCTTAGTTTGTTCTGTTTAACATTTAAGTACACATATCCATACATCATCTCTGAATTCATGCAAATATTGTCTGGTTCAGCTAATTCTTCAGCAAGCCCTACACTCGTGAATGCTCCGACTTGGTCCATACAGGCTCAACCTGCAGCATTAGCTAAATCTGGGCAAGAAAACAAGGTTTTGACTCATAACACAACCAAGGTTGAAGGAAGTGCCGGTTTGACTATGCCACAGATGGCTCCTCAAGCGGCAAGAGATCAAACTTTTAGACCATTCATTACTCAAACTGCAACTGGAACTTTTCCCAGTGTGCACCAGCCTGTGCAAGGCATGAACTTTGCACAAGCTCCCCCCTTTGTTAGTAATCACAATGAAATTGCTCAAATTGTTCAAAAGTTGTTACAACCAAAACTTCATGAGCGTCCTACTTGGACTCCTCCTTCTAGAGAGTATATGAATAAGGCTTTGACTTGCCAAACGTGCAAACTTACCATTAATGAAGTGGAAACTGTACTGCTTTGTGATGCATGTGAGAAAGGATTTCACTTGAAATGTTTGCAGTCAAACAATCAGAAAGGAATCCCTAGAGGTGAGTGGCACTGCTCTAGATGCTTGTCATTTTGCAATGGGAAGCCTTTGCCCCCTAAATATGGTCGTGTCATGAGAAGTATCAGTGCATCCAAAGTGCCTTCTAGCATAGCTGAAGTTCAGTCATCTTCAGAGAAGAAAGTGGAAAATTTAGATCCGAAGGTCAATCATGAGAAGGTAACTGCAAATGGAAGCTCTGCTTTACAGACTCCTGCTGTGGTTGGTACAGTGGACAGCAACTCTGTTGAGTCAGCATCTGATTCTAAGATTCCAAAAGGGAACTCGACAAAACCTTTGGAGGCTGTATGTGATTCTCCTTCTGTTGCCGCGGTAAGTGAGAGACCTTCTGAACATTCTCAAATGATTGAATTTTCTATTCATGAAGAAGGGAAAGATCCAGCGTCAACATCACAGCCTCCTGATACATCATCTAACACAATCAGCAATAAGGCAGATCATTCACAGCCTTCAAATAACTCACAAGATGCCCAAACAGGGCAGCAAAACTTGGCTGTAGTTACTTCAAATAATTGTCATGATGAAAGTTCTGAAGTTAAAGATTTGGAGAAAGGCTGTTTGAAAGGAGATAGTTACTGCAGTATACAGATTAATCAAAAAGAAGGAGATGCTGCAGCTGCACAAGCAAATCCTGGTGGAACTTCTGGAGCTACTACTGAGAATTCAAGGCATGCTGAGTTTTCTTCTGATGGTTTGCATGCTGTTCGGTGGACTGCTGATGTACTTCAATTTGTGGATGGAAAAAAGTTTTACCAGTCTTGTTGCATTGATGGCATAACTTATAAACTGCAGGATCATGCTCTTGTTCATTCTGGCCAAGATAAACTGATACCGTCTAAGCTTCAGGTGAGAAAAAAATTATATCGAGACTGCTTGTTTCAATGTCCTGTAAAATCAAACTTGATAAATTTTGGATCTTCATGCAGGCAATGTGGGAGGATGCTAAAACTGGGTCGAAGTGGGTGGTTGTGAAGAGGTGTTACTTTCCTAGTGATTTGCCGGAGGCTGTTGCTCGTCCATGCACACCTGAAAGCAGTGAGGTAATTTGTTTTCTCATGCAATGTTATGTTGATTGTTCTCTTCCTATTCTTCCATCTGTTGTCTATGTTTTGAAGACCGTCGGAGCAGAAAATGAAAGTCAATAGTTTTTCATTAGTTTTTTTTTTTTCTTTGTAGGTTTATGAATCTAATAATGATAGCACCGTTATGGCAAGCTCGATTAAAGGCCCATGTGAAGTTCTCCCTGCAACTAAATTTAAGGAAGAAAGTCAAAGTCAGTTAGGATTTGAGGCAAATGAAGGATTAAGGGCAATTTTCTTGTGCAAGTAAGTATATTCATGTCATGTACTGCATACAATTACTCCTTGCTACTAAAAATTGCTATTTGACAAAGATGAAGACACAACTTATGTATTGTACATTCATTTGAGAAATTTAGCATTTGGTAAGCACATAATGAGTTGGATTGATTGATTAATGGAACTATTCGTACTGCAGATGGCTTTATGATGAATTCCAAGGAAGCTTTCACCCTATATCAAGTTAATAATGTTATGCATCTGTTTACTTAGCGTGATATCACTTTTTGCTGTGGCAAATTATATCCTCTTCTCGAATCAGGTAAAATTAACAATATCTTCATCATATAATAGAAACTTCATTTCGCGATTTGCTTACATTACCCGGAACCATTAACTTTTTCCGATACATTTTTGGAGATACTTACATAACTGTTACTGTCAAAACAGGTAAAAAAAATTGCAGCTCGGGCCTGTTGCACATCTGAGGATCATTACTCGCTATTGCCTTGTATCATATGTTGTCGTAGTGCTAGTTTTGTATCATAGTTTGATTAGCAATTTAAATTGATATCTTTCATGCCTTTCCAAAATGTTTTAACTATATAATGAATCTGCTTCACCTTTAAATATTTTTCAACTATTTCTTCTATATTAAATCATTTTTGGTGCATGCTAAATGTTGTTTTGTTGTTTTTTTTTTTTTTTATTGAAAAGCAAGATGATATTTTACATTGGAATAGATTTGGTAATCTAAATCTCAACACAAATATGATATAAAAATAGAACACGAATAGTATATAATTTAAATTTTTAATAATAATTATATATATGTTTAATAAAATTAAAAAATATATTTTATATTTTATATTAACGTGAATTATGATATATAATTTTAATAAATATAATATTAATATAATAATTTTAATATTTTACAGGATAACATGATATAAATATATGAAAAATCAAGTTTACATTGGAAAAATAGGTATGGGCCATCATCGAAGGACGGAGGAACAAACCAAGACCCAAGCTTCTTAACACCTAGTGGCTCATACCCTCCAAAAGATGTAGTAATTTTGTAGGCCATTATTTGTGATTAAGTGGTTCATTTCTATGCTTAAGTATTTTCTGAAATTCTCATGGTTAAGGGGAAAAAAAAAATCATGTTTACTAATTGGGTAGGGTTGGGATTGATTGGTATACCAAAATGTTTATTTAAAGCTTATTTGGCCCACCTATTAAAACCCATTTAGATGTATTTAATTTAAATTTATTATTAAAATATTAAAAATTATTTTATATTGATATTTTTAATATTTTTACTTATATTTTTTTAATTAAAATTACATAAAAACAAATTATTTTATAAAAAAAATGTTTATTGACCACTACTGAGCATTGACCATTATCTTTTCTGCTTAAGTTAATTTTGGGATCCAATCATATAATTTTAATTGGAAAATTGAAATATGAAAAAACCCTAAATTTCATGCAATTCATAGCTACTATTCCCAATACCCCCTAAATTCATGTTGCTATAGGCAGGGGAGCAAACAGACACATGCATTCAAAGCCTTTTGGTTGCTTCCCATTTTTGAAATAAATACATTCCCTCATTCGTTGGATCTCTACTTTTTAACTATTTTTATTCATGGTATAGATGAAATGCTCTAGAGAGAAAACCTCTATTCCCAACCATCTTTATAAAAGAATTATTCACTTGGAAAATTTTTAAATTTTTTTTACTAGAATTAATGATGTAAGGGATTGGACGTAATCATTGAAATTAAAAATTTAACGTAATTATTAACAGATAATTTGACTTTTGCAAAAATTTTAATCTTAATCGGTAATTAATTATGTTTAATTAATGTTTATTTTAATCCCTAACAATCTTGTGAATTTTGACTCAATCAAATCCTAACAGGAGACCTAGCTCTATATGACATAAAAGTATAAGAAAAGAAAGCATCAATTAATATAATATTTGATTATATATAATGGATAGATGCTATAAACCTAGTTATAAATGCTTTCTTCCTGTTTATTTTGACCATTGACTTGTTTTGTCTACACAGATCCCAACCTTTTGTTGGGAATTTACATGATAAATCCAAAACCAAACAATTTTCAATCCATGAATTTGTGTTGCTAGATCATGCTTTGGATGAGGTGAGAGATTTAGCAAATATGCGACTATTCAACTTTTGTCAGCCTATATGAAGCTAAGAATTTGGTTTAGTAAGCACACTACTTTAACAAATTGATGTGTACAAATGACTCAAAGTATATATAGTGATCATTAGGTTTTGAAAAGTTTAAAATAATAATTAATTATTATGGTTTAGTGGCAAGTGTGGATATGTGTTTAATATAAATATAATCATTTTTTTGAAGTTTTTTTGCATATTTAAATGGTCAAACCTTCGTATATATGTCCGTCGGATATTCATGCTATAATCAATCATCAGTTTCTTTTTGTTTAATTTCAAAGCTAGGTCTTGGACTCTCCATTGTTGTTATCCCATATATTGACAATCAATTACAGGACTTTGATGGAATTAAAGAACCAATTGAGAGCAAAGCATGCGAAGCCTTAAATCACTTCATGTTACATTACAAGAGAATAATTTTTACCCTTAAAAGGTAAAAATCTTTTCAAAGTATCAAATTTCCAAGTTCATTTGACCAGCTATATATATATCCAGGCCATGCCAGGGACCATTTTCTTGTCCTAAACCTTTATCTTTTAGTTTCTTTCTTCAGACGATTAGTCAAATCTATGCAGGCCAAAGTAAAAGAAAAAAAAAATGTTGCCAACCAGGGTTGACACAAGTGGTAAAGGGTGAGGTCTTGGTGCATAAACACCCGGGTTTGAGTCTCCCCACGGTCCCTCATGAGTAAACAATTTGTAAGTTCAAAAATCTCCACGTAAAAATTTAATAAATCTGTAAATTTCAATTGAATCGGTGACTTGTCCTGATCTTGGAGCTGATAATTGCCCTATTCCTAAACTGTCCTTGACCAAAAAAAAAACAAAAGGTTAGACAAAAACTCATGAGTCATGACACAATTCCATGACATAACTACCATCTTTTTTGACCATTCCAACTTCACTTTTTTAACCACACTCAAAACCCTTTTTTCCTCAAACCAAAGTTAAAAGTTAATGCATATAATCAATCAATTGCATCAATCTTTTATAAAAATAAAATGGATCATCTTTTGGCATGGCAAGCATAATTTCAAAGCTAGGGTAGGGGCTAAAAGGCCCAAAACATTAAAATAAGGGAAGGTGCATGTTCTTAACAGTTTAACTTTTGCATGGCTTATTGATTAATTATAGTAGTGTGATAAAAGCAATTGAAGACCTAAGTGATTGTAGGTCAGTTGGGAGTTAGGGTAAAGGCAAAGGCAGAGGAAGAAGAAGAAGAAGAAGAAAAGTATTGGTCCGACCTTGTTTCACGTGAACTGCCGACCATCACGGCCTTGTTGTAGACTTTAAGAGAGAATTGGTAAAAAAGAAACAAGGAGGTGGTCACTAGGGAGAAAAATTAGAGCAAGATTCTTTGACTTTTGTAATTACATTTGTTAACAAGTTAAAAAAAAAAAGAGTTTGTTTTCTTTGCACACGATTATTGAATAAAGATTATTCGCGTGTTGTCCACATTATTGATATTAATTTTAATAATTAAGGTTCAAATATCAGACAATCTCAAATAAAAAAAATTAGTTGTTTTTTTCATTTTCGTTATAAACGTTCAAAAATGTATATGAAATTACTAAATATGTGTTTTTATCTCTTGTTATAGTCTAATTTGTGTTAGGCTTGAGTCCTCCAATCATGTGGATAGAGATGGTTGCCACTTGCAAAAAGGAAAGTTTTAGCTAGCCATACAAATGGTAATAAGAACTATTCAAGCACACACTCCTTGCATGCTTGTGCACACCATGATTAAATGGATTTGTGACATTTCAATATCAATCTTATTATATATTAGTCTTGTGTGCCTAGCTATTTACAGCTTGCATATATTGCATTCACATAAGATTAAAAGATCAACATCTTCATTAGTCGATAAATATAACACTTTAAATTTTTATTTAATATCAAGCAAGTGTTATCTTATATTCGTATATGTTTATATGGATAAATATATTTTACCATTTTATGTGTGTGTGTATATGTAGGTATATGAGTTGTGATTTAATAACATTTGCTAATTTCAACATTATTTAATTAATAAAAAACAATCAATGTATGTGTTAGGAGTATTTTTGGATCCAAAAGATAAATCGATCTTTTTTATTTATTAGAGGTTGTCAACAGACAATCAATGATATTTTTTATTTTTGAGTCAATTTAACACATACAGTGTTTCGTCAGCTCGACCACATCACAATCTTATCTCACAAATCCTTCACATTTTATCTATAAATAAATCTATCTAAACACTATTTAAACCAATCGATTTAATTTTCTTATTTACTTTCCTATTTTTTTTTCTAACCTCCTCTAGCCGACTTTTGATTTGAATGTCTCCTGCCTTCATTTCTAATCGCTCACTTTCTCTTGTAATTTCGGGGTTCTTACCTCTAGTTCGAGTTCGGCACGAGCAGTATAGTTAATTACCTTATATATAGATTAATTAAGGAAGTTCCTATGAAAAAATGGTAATGTGGCTTCAAGTTGGTTGAGAGCCATGCGTAAAATGAGAGAGTTGGAGTGGGGTTTAAAGGGTTTTGCAACACTAATCCAACAAAGACTAGTAGTCTAATTAGTAGTTAAAAAGGGTTTAGGTACACAATGAACCTTGATTTCTGGGGTGATGTTCTAATAAATCACAGAATAATTCATTATCATTTGGCTTTTAATGGGTCTCTTGGATTCCCCATTATCTCATAAAGTTCTCTTACTAGCCCAATTTTTTTTAACTTTAATTAAACAATATTGAAAAAGAAAAAGTTGGAATTTGCACAATAAATTAATAATTAATCTGAGCTTCAACTGTTCTAACAGAAACCACCTAATCATTCACCTGAACATATACTTCAAAAAGACAAAGATTTAATAAACAAACACAAGATTAAGAAACATAATTGTTGTGTTTTATTTTATCAGTTTCTTGGTGCCCTTTACAATATTGTTCCTAATTGAGATTATTACTCAATAATTTTAAATCTCCATGCTAATTTTTATATATAGCATTAGATTATGACCGGACCGGCAAGTTAATTTAATTTAATCCGGTTTAGATAAATAATTGATGCTTAATTATAAGGGCAAAGATTAAGAAAATTATAATGCATGCATTGTTTCTTTTGTTTGAATGGCACTTAATAATTAAGCCTGTTGGCTAGCCATTGCCTTATTCCAGGCCACTGTCTACCCATAATTCTGACTTTTGTATGTATTTGAAGCCCTTTTCATACAAGGGAAAAGAATGTAGTCAAAACTATGTTAAAAATGACAATACAACTCATAGTGGAAGTAGCTTAATTATTATTACTATGCTTTTTTAATTACAAAATTAGGAAAAAAATTTTGCTTTTTTTTTTTAAATATAATGATAATATTGTTACTTTGTTCAAACTTAAAACTTTTTTACCATATTTTTTTGTTTCAAAGTGGTTCATAATATATCTCTATCTCTCAAAAACGAAAGTTCTAACTTTGTTCGTGCTTAAATCCATGATCATATATCAAACTAATCCTCTCCTAATTAAGCATACCTGCAATCCGCATTAAAAGAAAAGACTAGCAATTTTTTTAGGTACCTACTGCTATCATTTGCTCTACTTTGTGGTTTAAAGCCAATTCTAATCCAAAAAAAGTCAAGTAATTAGCTAACTAAAGTCTTGATACAAAAATACTATTCCATTTCCCTCTCTCTATATGTAACTTAACCAAAGTCTTTTGGTACAAATAAATTTAAACCATAGCTTTTCTTCTCTTCCAAATCTTATCTTTCACCATCCTTTAATTGAATTTTCCGGTATCGGAGACCGGAAACAAGAAAATCCGGCGTCAATCTTGGGTTTGCCGGGCTATATATATATCTTTGCTATTGCTTGCATGTGAGTCCCATAAGTGTGTTGCAGCTCTTTGTTTTCTCTTTCCTTTTTTTTTTTTTTTAAACTTTATTTGAATTTTTATCTAATAATAATTAGCTTTTTCCTTTTGTATGCAGACCAAAGTACAAGCAAAAAAAACTTTCCTTTGGCTTTGGTTTTTCTCTATATATACTCAGCTTTACTCAAAACTTTCTTCCAAAATAAACCAACAAAGCTGCAATGGCTTCCAAAGGAGACAATGTTGTTGTTTCTAACATGAACCTTGAGAAGCTGCTTAGCATGAAAGGAGGCAAAGGTGAAGGCAGCTATGCCAATAACTCCCAAGCTCAGGTTTATAATTCTATCCTGTTCCATTTTCCCATTTTTTTTCTTGTAATTGTCGTTTCTTTTCATGTTTTTTGGTATTTGAAATTGTGGGAGATTGAAGTCCTGATCACTGGAACTATGTGTTTGTTTATGCAGGCTTTACATGCTCGTTCCATGCTTCACCTTCTTGAAGAAGCCCTAGACAGTGTTCACCTGAACTCACCCGAGGTACCCTTTGTGGTCGTTGATTTAGGATGCTCCTGTGGCAACAACACAATCTACATCGTCGACGTGATCATCAAACACATGATCAAGCGATACGAGTCATCAGGATACGAGCCCCCAGAGTTTTCTGCATTTTTCTCTGATCTTCCTAGCAATGATTTCAACACTCTTTTCCAGCTCTTACCTCCCTTGGCTAATAACGGAGGTAGTAGCATGGAAGAGTGCCTAGCATCAAATGGACACCGATCCTATTTTGCTGCAGGAGTCCCCGGATCATTTTACCGGCGCCTGTTTCCGGCTAGATCCATCGATGTCTTCCACTCGGCATTTTCATTGCACTGGCTATCACAGGTTAATTGACCTTTCATTTCCCGAGGATGATTTTTAAGGTGAAAATTATAGGAAAAATACATAATCTTCAAGTTTATGTCACTTCATGGTGAAAAAATTTTACAAAGTTACGTGATTTTGAAAGATCTCTCAACCATTTGATTTTTACCAGCTTTGATTAGGTCAAAAAGTGAGTGCACAAATGATCATAGTAGCATGGTTTTCCTTTTTGTCATTATTTTTTCTTTAATTTTCAAACTTGAAAAGAATTGAATCCCTGATTTCTTTCAAAGAGAAAAACTTATGAAACATTAGTATTCAAGCTTTATCACACGCAAACCAAAGTACTGTTGCTTTCCCGTCTCTTTTCTCTTGTATGTGAAACATTAACACCAGACATATTTGTGTATCTCTGCAATGGGACCCAGATGCCTGAAACTGTGTTGGACAGAAGATCAACGGCTTACAACAAAGGGAGGGTGTTCATCCACGGTGCAAATGAGAGCACAGCCAATGCATACAAGAAACAGTTTCAGACAGACTTGGCCGAGTTCCTCAGAGCAAGATCGACAGAGATGAAGAGAGGTGGGTCCATGTTCCTTGTCTGCTTGGGAAGAACTTCAGTGGACCCCTCGGACCAAGGTGGGGCTGGTCTCCTATTTGGAACCCATTTTCAGGATGCTTGGGATGATCTTGTCCAAGAGGTATGGTAATAATCACCCATGTTTACATAAAGTTCTTCATTTTTACATGTGGCTTATGTGCGAACGGTACACTCCAATTGTCCCAAAATCATTACTCGCCCCGTTGCCATGTCGGCAATATGATAACTGCTGGCAGAGGTTGTGGGAGCCACATATGCATTGACCAAACTAAGATCAAATTGAATGTTGTAAGAAAAAAGAAACATAATCATAGCATTTAACAAGACGACAATAGCAGTCATTTGGGACCGTTTGATCATTGTTGGATCAAATAATCATAAGCTGTGGGATCAAACATTCTCTTGCAGTAAATTAATGTAGTAGTACATTTACCTATGATCCTCCTGCCTTAATGTTCTAATCAAGGTGCCACAAATATTATCTTGATAAGGTGTTCATTTTTTACTTTGTTTAACTTGTAATAATTTCATTTTCAAATTTTTATATATAAAAGTCTTGAATCATTTCATCCAAAAAAATTTTATATTCAATCTATTTAAATATAAAAACAACATATATCAATCGCATTTTTAAATAGAATAGAATTAAATTTTAACTTTCATCTTATTTTAATTTTTTAAGTTGGGATTCAAATAAAAAATAGGGTTACATAATTCTAATGATATATGTATTATGGCAGGGCCTTGTTAGTAGTGAGAAGCGTGACAATTTCAACATTCCAGTGTATGCACCAAGCCTACAAGACTTCAAGGAAGTAGTTGAAGCAGATGGTTCATTCACCATAAACAAGCTTGAGGTATTCAAAGGAGGCAGCCCTCTAGTCGTTAGCCGGCCGGACGATGCAAAGGAGGTAGGACGAGCCCTAGCTAACAGCTGCCGGAGTGTTTCCGGGGTACTAGTCGATGCACACATCGGCGACAAGCTCAGCGAGGAGCTGTTTTTACGTGTGGAGCACCGAGCCACAAGCCATGCTAAAGAGCTACTAGAGCAGTTGCAGTTCTTTCACATAGTTGCATCTCTTTCTTTTGCTTAGAGAAAAAGAAAAAGGTATTCAAAAAAAAAGGAGAAAAGAAAAACAAAACGCTTTTTCCTCTTATCTTTTCCCTTTTGTGTGTTATTTCCCATTGCATTGAAAAGAGATATATATGATCAATTAACACACAAAAGAGAGGGAAAAAGAGTTTCATTCTCTAGCTTTCTTTTTTTTTTTTCACTTACTTTTGTGTGTTATTGTGTGTGATTAGTGATTGTAGTTACCTTTATACTTGATGAATATTAAGACTTTGTGTTCCCTTGAATCCAACTAAGTAAATTAAAAAAAATAAAGCTATGTAATACATTCTTTTTATATCTAATTATTAAGATGTTTTTTGTAACTTTGTATGAAAGGGCTTGCTTTTACATCTAAAAACTTGTGAAATTTGCATTTGATTTTAGTTAATTGAACTTCCCATTCCTTCCCTTTTACCCTTTCTTTTCTTATTTTAAATTTTTGGTGGGTTTCAATGGTAGTTATTTCGGTTGTAATCTTATCACTAAGTTTCCAATATTCAATCCATGCTTTTCAAAAGTACTTTTGGACCATTTGGCTCCTGCATACTACTTGTTTCCCCCTTTTAATTCTTTGACTAACAAAGGATTATTGTACACATTGAAAATCAAAGGATGACTCTCAACATTTCCTTAATCCTCCTAATCCTATCCAAAAGTGTTAAATTCAAATTCTAAATCCTTTATACAGCCATTACAAAATTCTTTGTCAACAACTGCATTCTTTGTTGGTTAGAATGTTAGACTTTTAGTTTCAGAGATTCGATCTTTAACAGTATTGAAAAGAAAACTCCTGCATATGTTATACCAAAGCTTATTCATGTATATCTTACATGGCCATTGATGCTTGAGTAAAGCTTGAGCAATTACTTGATCCATACCAAGAGCAAATTGACAAACCAAGCATAACCAACAGAGAACATGAAACAAAAATACTTTCAGGTCTATGCTTAAATCATAATACATATCAAATATCCTTCTCTCCAGATTATTCTTCTCCTGATGAGGAATGAAATATGAAAATATCAGCTTCTTCTGGTAGCTTAAAGCTCACTCTTTTCTTTGACTTCTCACTTTGGCTCCTGGTCAAAGAAACCTCCATGTCTTCTCTTTCACCATCTTCAGATTTCAGTGGCCTCTCCTTAGAGAAGCTCTCCCTTGGTTTAGACGAACTATTTGCTGCTATTTCTCCAACAAAAGACGGAAAAACTCTATTGGAGGAATGTTTGAAAACATGGTATTCACCACCAGGGTCGGTACCAGGGTTTTTCTGCAATATTCCTGGGGAAGATGTGAGCCAATCCTCCAGAGTGAGCTCCCTTGCCTTGTTTAGCTGCTGTTTCTGCTTCTGTTTCTGCTGCAACTGCCTTTGTTTTGTTTCCTTGGACCACCAGCATCCCAACATCATGAAAGACATGCCTGAACAAGCACTTCGATTATGATCATGTTTTATTTCCTGTTGATCAGCTGATCTTTGGGGGCTTGAACTTGATTGCCTAAAACAAGAGAGGCTAAATCCCATTCTTGTTCTTCTTTGGAGAACTTTGATTAGATATTATTCCTCTTAGTACAATAAGGTTATATAGGATCCATTGATGGATTCTCCAAAGGAAAAACTTATTAGCTTAGTTATTATCGATATTCACTTTTGGCCAAAAAAAAATTAGCGATATTCACTCATTGATTAATGTAAGATGAACTTGTTTGTGTCTGACCAAAACACTTTTGGAATTCAGAATCTGAATCTGATTTCCTTACTAAATGACTAAAAGCCTCTCACTATTATCATTTGATCCCATATTTCCATGGGCATAACTGTCATTTTGAATACCGTTGCAGCTCATCTTAAATACTTTTAATAAACAGACAAGTGAGGAAACACTCCCTTGGCTTATCCACCTTCCCATGCAGACAAACTTTCTTTGTTAATATGGTGATGAAGGCAAGAGAGCCAACCCAAGCAGCCCACAAAGTTGTCAATTAAACCAGATGAGACAAACCCTTCATTCCTTTTCCTATTCATTTTCTTTAATAGGATTGATTTGAATCATAAGAGTAATATTCATGTTTATCTCCATGCGTTTTGGGCAGCTCGTGTCAAATCAGCTAATAACTCCCCTGCACTAATCTTTTTTCCCGATTCCTAGATCATACCTAATTAAAAATAAACAGACTTAATAAAATAATGAAACCCCAAAAAAATTGTGAAAACAGATATATGAATGACAACTCTATTTTGTCAGATCATGTACCCCAATCATAGGTAAGAAGCCAATGATCAATATGGAACCTTGTCCCTAGTTGCCAGAACAATTTTTTTTTCTTTTTTTTTCCCTGGAGAAAATTTAATAGCAGATCTGACTAATGCAAAGAAAACAACATGAATCAAAAACCAGCTTCCGGAAGCCAAATATCACAATATTACACGGCTAATAACAGTATACTCTCCAGTCATAGACTATATCCCTACAACAGCTCTTGGTTTCTAACCGATATACTAAACATATGGCAATAACACTAGTAACATGACGGGGGTGTAAAATTTCTCGTTTATTATTAGGGTGACGGTGGAACTGGATCAGTTCCGGAAACATGGGAGGCAGGATCCTCTTTTGATATGGCAACGTAGTTCACAGGAGCTGCCAACCTCATACTATCCCTCTTCCCATCTTTAGCAGCAGATCTGCTTCCATTTTGATTAGCATTTAGAGACAACCGTCTGCTATGGGTTCCATTGGCTCCTCCATTTGCTCGAGGACCAACCACCTTCTTTGTACCAGATGGTCGAGCGGGGCTTGGCCTAGAACTGAAAATGGCTTCTTGTTCTGTGTTTTGCAGCTCACCGAACTTCTTCTGATCCTGTTGGTTCATAAGTTAATACATTTAAGCTGAAAACTCCTTTTAGTTCACCTTCTTCCTGTCTAGATCTAAGTACATGCTTGAAGTTATAAAGTTTGAGCTAATAATGAATTAAAATCTTACCCTAAGCCTCCTCTTCTCTTCTTCTCTTTCTTGTCTGAGCATGGCATATTCATCTAGCATGGCAAGGAGGGGAACACTATCATATGTAAATGATATGCCATGATCTTCTTCCCAAGCCCGAGTTTTTGCAACCAAAGTGTCAACCATACCTACAAGAGGCCAATAAAACCAATTAATACAAAAACTCTAGCCATATATGCATGCTAAGCACATCTAAAGTGGTAGCATTATAGAAATACTCCCCTACCACGTAAATATTAAGGCAAAAATGCTATCAATGGGTGGAAATTAGGAATTATTGGCTTCAGGGAATCATATCATTTCATCTCTTAAAATTGGTATCCCATGCATTAGCCATATGATGACTTCCTTAACTTATATACACATTAATTTTATTCACAATCAAACCTTAACCTTCAAGATTTAAATTTTTAATTAAATTACCACATTCTAGATTGATAAGAAGGAAGTAGAGAACAAAATTTAGGGCATACTTCGTATTCAGCCCCAGCTCCAATAGATTACAAGGAACTTTAAGACTAGAAATTGAATTGCGAATGATGGTTCAAGGTAATTTTGTATTTATACCAGCATTATTACCTTCTGTTGAACAAAACAAACAATAGAAATGCACATGCACACATTATCCACCAATGACATATGAATCACCATCATGTATATTAATATTGATGGTCCTACCTGGAATTTTGTTGACCAGAATTCGAACTTTCTCAGCACGCTTGAGATTTAAGTGTGCACCCCTGCTTGCATTGTACCTGTTCTCATCCTGTTCCAGCAGGAAAATATCAGTGGAACTGAAACATTAAGACAGGTAGAGAAAATAAGCTACGAGCATTCATAGGGAAGAACACCATCAAATCTGTTTCTCTAGTACTATTTTTATACTTTTCCCTATATAGAGGTACAGGGGCAGAATCTTACAGATGCTGATGAGCTAGCAGTCACTCATATATGCCAAATCCAAAACATTTATCAGGGAACATCGGAATACATTGAGGGACTCAAGAATCAGCACTATGGTACATAGCATTTACTTTTAGCAAGAAAAAGATCAAGCCACATACTTCAGGCCAAGATTCTTAATTGTATCGTGTTAGAATGAAAAGTAAGTCAAAAATATTATGGCCAGATTATCAGAATTACTCCTGCCTTCAACGCAAATAGATACACCCACCCATGAGGAAGAGAGAGGTGGGAGCAAGAAGCCAGAAAGAAAGAGAGGTTGAGGAAGAGATCATAAATACCCGATTGTAGTCTTCAAGCCAACTTTCTTCTTCACAAGCTGACATCCATTTTTCAACCCTGTCCAATATTTCTTTTCTGGTAAGAGCTTCTTCTTTTGCTTTTGCTATCTGATTATCCATGTCAGCTAGCAACTCAGCAGGCTCAACATTCCCAGAATCAATCACAGCCATAATTTTCTCCCTAGCAGCCTCTGGATCTATCTCTATATGAGCACGTGCAAAAATCTCCTCAAGCTCCACTTGCCTTTTGAAAGCAAGTTCCTTCATCCTGCTTGACTTTAGCTGATCAAGCCTTTCGACTTCCACCTCCGCCTTCAGGATAAAAAAAATGAATATAAGTAAGCAACTGTTCTCGTTCAAACTTAAACAACCAACTAAGAAACTTAATTACCTGCTCAATCAAATCCAGAGCAAGAGCACCAGGAACAGTCACCTCATCAACAGATGAAGAGATATTGCAGGTAACATGGTCGAATAATCGTCTTTCCTCTTCAGGAGTGTCCATCAAATTCCAAAGATCAATTAGCTGAGTCACCAACTCTTGAAGCTGTCAAAAGCAGAACATGTTCACTTCATAATTAATTTCTTGGAACAGTAGTATGAAGATGAATATATTAGATCATATATTTTTATGTCCAGTATAAAGATTACTCCAGAAATACCTTATGAAGCCTCTGCTTCTTATCTTCATTTAAAGCTGAGACTGTCTTGGCCAACCTCAATAGTGTGTCATTGCTGATGCTTTTTGACTGCACACCTGTAGAGTCATCTAAGCTTGGATGTACTTCGGTTACAGTACTAAAGAAGTCCATTCTGAGGACAGCACAGAGATCATGCACAGAGCTGACAAATTCAAGGACTTTATGCAGCCGGTCACTCTACAATGCAATGAGAAGTTAATGGAATGATGAATGTAAAGACTAGATGCCATTATAAGTAAGGCAATGAATTTACCTTCTCTTTTTGAAGTTCTTGGAGCTTTAACTGATATTCATCCAACTTCTTCAGGGACAAGTCAGACTCATCCACCGCAGGAGCACCTGTCTGCTCACCGGCATTCCCAGTAATTTCTCCACATATCTTCTGAATCTGTGACTGTACATCAGAAAACTCCTTAACTCTCTCCTCTTTCTGTTTCCATAGCTGTTCAAGCGCCGGTGCTATAGCTCTAAGTTGTTCCTTGATTGTTCCTGGTGGTTTCTCTGGCTGTAATCAAACAAAAAGGAATAGTGAGGAATCCGGTTCAAGTAATAACTTCCTATAGTCTTTAGCATCTTTGAATGTAAGAGAAATTAAGTGATTACTCACAATGCCAACAAAACTTTTGTCTCCAAGAGCTGATACAAGGGTAGAAAGTTCAAGTTTGGCATCTGACAAGGCCTGAAGAAGTTGTGTTCTTGACTTTACAGCCTGCTCAACCTTCCTCTTGTATACATCCAAGCACTCTTGCTCTATCAGAAGAAGCATCTTGTCTCTCTCCTCATCACTTTCACCGACTTCATCCCAAATTTCCTACAACCAATTGCAGAACATTTTACCGGCTATATCTCTAGACACAGACATAGACTAGAAACAAAGATTTTATGGAAGAGAACAAAGTTTGATACCATAATACCTGCAATTTCTGCAGTAAAGAACCACAAGTGGTTTCTCCTAGAAGAGGATTTTGTGAATCCGTTACCTCCATTTACTCTAGCACTTCAACCTAGCCTGCACAAGGGGAAGCATTTAATAGACATCAACACAATTTTCTTTTGATAATTAAGGTGCACATGAAAAGAACAAACCATAGAGAACTACGTGTATATACCTTATTGACCTGCCAGAAACATCACTTTACCCGACTAAATGACATAAACACCTAACAGCAAAAGTGACAAGAAATAGCAAATCATTAAGTTAGGAGAAGTTTCAAGAATTATATTATCTAAAGAATATCATGGCAATAAAAATTTTAAATTTAAAATGTACAAGGACATCAATTGCTAAGGCATTGGCATATTAAAATGATGTAAAAGAACCTCAAATATATAAGTAAACAACGTGTGATGCAACTATGGCATTTAGTAAACAAATTAGATAATGCTTCTAAATTTTTTGTCTATTGGGAACTGCAATAAGCTTACTAATGGGAAACATTATTTAACGCAGATCATAAAAAAAAAAAAAAGAAGTTAAAATAAAAGACTTAATGTCACACATATTGCACCAGAGTGCAGTTGATTAAGCAAGTAAACTTGCAGAAAATTTGGTTTTCCAAACACTGAAATTTACAAGGAGGAAAAATGAATCTTGAATAACTTATTGCAAGAACCAACAGAAACTACTTTTTGAATATCTTACTTCAAAAACCAACAAAAATGAATTTTGCAAATCTGATTGGAATTTACAAGGAAAAAAAACAAGAATCTTTTGTATTTTACTTCAAGAACTAATATATAAACCCTTTAAAATAAGTTTAAAAGACATACCAGCTTGATCTATTGAGCTTCCATATGTCAACCAAAAGTAACATAAAACAAGACATTAGAACTATGAAACAACCTGACCAAACCATCAGAATAACAATTTCACTTCTTTCTCAAAATTCACTTAACATTCAACCACTAAAAATAACCAACAAAACCCAAAGCTCAAAAACCTTCATTTTCCACAAAACAAACACACACATTACCAGAACCAACTAGAAGAACAACTCCAAAACAGTCTAGATCTCTCTTAAACCCCAACTACAACTAAAAAAAACCATACTTTCTTTACAATTTACATCAAGCTCAAAACAACAATCAAAGAAAGGATGAAAAATGCAGCAAAGACAAGAAATAACCAAAAAGAACGAAAAATAAGACATACCCAGATCTTCGTTTAAGCAAATATTTCTGGGGTTTTTTTTTTTCTTCAGATCTAAAGCTTTGATCTTTGCAGAGACTGAGTTTGTGAGACTAAGAGAAGCTTTGATACAGGGAACAAAAATGGAAAATGTTTACCATGGGACCCCTTAGTACATCTAATTGTCCTGACAAATTCTTCTAATTTATAAGTACCCGTGTCTTTTGGGATTATTTACGAAGATGACACTGTCAATGTCTAACCTTCCGAATTTACTTTTTTGTCCCTTCGTGACTTTTGGGGTTTTTTTTTTTTTTTTTCCTTGCCTTTGGCCTTGTTGTTTTTGTGGGTTTGTGTTTTTTTGCATTTGGATTTTTGTAAAGTATGCGTTAAAAGGGTGGGGTCTTTTGTTAACGTAACAAATGGGTAGAATTAATCCAATGTGTGGGGACATTTTTAATGATTTTAGATCAACCAATGTGTTGTTGACATGTGTGATATAGTGAATTTTTTAAATACATGAGAGGATATTTGAAAAAAGAAATCAAGAATTAGATTTCAATCATTTTGAAATATGAATAGTAATAAGCCAATTTCTAATCATTAACCTCTATTGAATAATCTAGTAATTTTTCTCTCCAATCAAACTAATAAGATGACAAAAACATTTATCTAAAAATTTTGAATTTCATTTGAATGATAAATCAATTATCATTCTAATCATTCTAATAGAATATTCGAATGTCATAAAAAATTATAATGAAAAAAACTTATAAAATGATGTAATCCTCATTGAATCATGATGCCTTAGTTGCAAATTAAATTATTTAAAATTTTTTTATAGAATTAAATTATTTAGTTCCATCATAAAAAAAAAAGTATAAGAATACTCTAGTAATAATTATAAACAAATAATAATAGCAACAAATCGAATGAGATCATTTTTTTTTTGAAATAATTAAATCATAAATTTTAAAAATCAATTTGGTAAAAAATTCCATGAATTAAGGGTAGTTTTATCAATCACACCCACCATTCAAACTCTTTTCACCCATGTAAATCATTTGCCCAAATTTTGAAAAAAAAAAATTCAAGTCAAATGAAGAGAAAATGGCATAGTGATAGAATGATAGTTAAGTTGAAGAAAGAGGGCAAATGGATGATGGTGATAAAACATAAAGAAAATGGTGTAACCAAAGGTGAAACAAAGGCATTGAGAAAGAGGCAAAGGTCATTAGTCATCTATAAATACATACATTTAGGCATTATTAAGGCAAGTTTAATCTATCATTAATTTTTCGTAGTATTTTTTTTTTTAATTTCATTCATTTTGATTTTTACATTAAAGTGCAAACATAAAAAATATTTCATGTCTTTGACTCTAATCGTTTTTATTTTATATCTTTTTAGAAATACTCTTGAATCAAAGCTCGATATAAACACCTACCATTCAAAATTTTTCACTCAAATAAATCATTTGCCTAAGTTTTGAAGAAAAAAAAAAGTGAAAATGGCATGGTGGTAGAATGGTAGTTAAGTTGAAAAAAGAAGGCAAATGGAAGATAGTGATAAAACATGAAAGAAAATGGTGTAACCAAAGGTGAAACAAAGGCATTGAGGCAAAAGCAAAGGTCATGGGTCATTGTTAGGTGGCATCAAGAATCAAACATATCTCTATCTTTGCAAAAATCTTAAAGCATCATTAGCATGCAAAAAGTTGTTTGTATTTATTAGTAGCTCAACAAGTTTGTTTCTAGATATTGCTGTAATAATTTAAACCCTTGTAAGCCTCTTTTAGTTTTTTTTTTAATTATTTTTATTTTGTTTAGATTTGCCCCATTTCCATATGGTTTCCTAAGAATCTCAACTCAAAATTTTATCTATTTCTTTTTGTTTATTTTAATGTTTTCTTTTAGCTTAAAATAAAGCCATAAAGACCATGGAATTAAATTTTCAACATCACTTGATCTTAGTAGGTCAAGTAAGGTATATGTTTCAAAATCAATGTATTATATATATATATATATATATATAGAGAGAGAGAGAGAGAGAGATAAAAATTCTTGGCATTATTTGAGTCTAATCAATTTCTTAAATAATTTTAAAAGGTGCATTCCTTCATTGATATTTTTAAAATTTTACTTTTAAAATGCTCCATAAAAATGAAACTTTAATTGACAATAAGAGAAAACTCTTTTCTTTACCCACTAAACTAAATTTTACGAATTCAAATCAATGTTTGGGTGATATTTTTGTTGGTAATGACATGGAAAATTCAATGAAAACAGTTACATTCCTCCATATTGTATCTTATATTTAATTGCAAGCAAACATTTAGAAATTCATAGATGAAAAAACATTATTTATCATTCATGAATTATCAAAGTTGGACTTTCTAATTATTACTATGTTACCCTTAAATATCTTTCAAATCATGTCTTAGTTTGAACTTTTCATTTTATGTCTAGATTGTTCACAAATTCACTTAACAAAATTAATATAGTATTAAAACATTTTTTGGTAGGACATTTCTCAAAAAAAAAAATTTTAGGTAAGATAATGATATCATTATTTGTCTAATCCTAATCTCATGCAAAGAGAAAATGAAAAAGCAAGATGGAGAGGTGGGACTTGAAAAGTAGATTTACTATTATTCTTGTGGGTTACACATGATTTAAATTATTTATTGATTAGCCTAAATGAAACTTTTTTTTTGACTAAATATGATTTATTTACACTAACCAAACATTTAACTAGGTTTTAACTCCTTTAGTTTAATGTGGTGTGTCATGTGAATGTTGTCATGTTCCTTGTCAACTAGACTAGGTATCTTTTTTGGCCATTATTTATTTGGGAATAAAGACAATGTCATTATGTTATACCTTTTGAAAGTTTATAAATATCTTAAACACTTTCTAACATTTGAATGCAAATATAAATTAGAGAAAAAAAAAACAAAAAGGAAATGAAAATGGAAGAATAGTTTAGTTGTTGTCTCAATGAAATTTATAAGGACAAAATAATAAAATTTTTTATATTTTATTATTTTATTTGGATAAAATCTTTACATTTTTATTATATTTAAATAAATCCTTAATTTTTATTTTACATCCAACTAAATCTTTAAATTTTAATTTCTATCCAAATAAAACCTTAACCTTTAATTTATACTTAAATAAGTTATTAATATAAATCAATATTTTGTTTGAAATAAAAAATTACTTAAATGCAATAAAAATGGAAAATTTTGTTTAAGTAAAGTGACAAAATTTAAGGATTTTTAAAAATATTTTAGTCAATTTATAATGAAAAAATGGGCACTTTAAGAGTGATTAATTTAGTTGGTTGGTGTTAGTTGGATTTTAAAAAAAAAAAAACCATAATTAATCCAAAATAAAGGACAAATTGAAGTTTGACTATATATCTGAATATTCTCCCAAATGCTTGACTCAAACATGTGGGAATTTGGATCAGATTTTCAATTTTTTTCACCAGTTAGGCAAATTGAAGTTTGACTAGCAATCTTGACTAGGGGTTTGAACCATCCAAATCCCTTACATGACTTTTTTTTTTAATATTTAAAATTATCAAAATTTAAACTTTAATATTAAAATTAAAAATTTAATATTCTATTAACAATTATTATTAACTAATTTTTCCCTTAATTACATTCATTAAAAATTACAAGATTCTCATGTTAACATGTTTAAAACTATAGTTATAACTTGTTGAAAATTGCAAAATTTTCACATTAAAAGTGTATAAAAAATATAAAAATGGGCTGAATCTCAGCCCATTCCGATAAAGCTGGGGCCACAAAACTAGCCTACTTGTAAGTAGTTGGGGTAGACGATTTACACGTGGGGCTTGCTTAATAATTCTTCGACGGTAATCCACGTGGCAGTTTCTGGGAGATCCTTACTTTCTACTGGGTCTCACAAAGAACATGTTCTTTACTCAAAAGAAACTCAAATATAAGACTCTTTAAATTTCTTCATTCTCCTCAATCTATCATCGTCTTTCATTTTCTGTTTTATTTTTTTAACATTTTGGTCCTTCACCATTCCTGGGTTTCCAATCAATGACGTGTAAACTGTTAAACTGTCAGATTCAAAACCGTAAGCTACCCTTTCTTTCAATCCCATTTCCTCCTTGTTTCTTATAATAGATTTGCATGGCTATTTTTCCATTGTTAAATTCTTTAACAATGTTGATGGATTCTTTAAATCCTGAGATTTCTTTGTTTTGATACAAATAAATACTTTATTGTTGCAGGGTGTGTTCTTGTTGTCTCAAAATTTATTGAATTACTGGTATAATAGTAAGAGCAATGCTAAAGGATCATGGTTCCAGTGCACCATCTGCACCTACTAGTACTCGAGTTCGGCACCGGAGACGGTCCAGTGAGGTCTGTATTATTCCATAAATATATGCCTCTCCTCATGTTCCATCGCATGTTTGAATGTGGTCGAGGTTGGGTTAGTTCATGGATGTTTCTAGCTGCCTGCCATGTGCATTTGCATAAAGATGAATGAAATAGAGCAGTTGATTGTTTAACACCTTGATTTTGATTCAATAAGAAGTACATTACCAATGAATGGTCCTTATCCTTTATATCGGTTAATCCTTCTGGAAAGATCAATTTCACTTAATTTTGGACTTGTATCATGAATTTCTGAACTCTGTTGGAATTTGAACATCTCTGACATGTTCCGATGCACGCGATGTGCTAAGATCCTTTTCTTTTTATTTTCTTGTCAAGTGGTTTAAAGTGTGATTGTGTTCTTTGGTGTTAGCTTCCTGTTGAGATGAGCAGAACAAACTGAAATCATTTACTTGCCAATGATCACAACAAATATAAATCATTGTGGATTCGTGCTTGTTCATCTCTGTGGATGCTGGGGGCTTCTTATTATCCGAATATTCATGGCGAGGGAGCTCTTCAATCTACTCAGAAAAGCCCACGAAGATAAACGCCTGCCTGGGTTCAGGCTCTTGAACTGGTAAGAATGATTACAATGCAAGTTTGATATTGTGGTAGCACCTAAGAGATTGATATTCTGGTGGCATTTTATGTCCTTGTAGGCACTTTTACTTCACGGCTATGCTCTTTGTATACGGTCGCATTCTCAGTCACCAGCTCGTGAATACAGTAACTTTAGATAAAAATCTTCTATAGGCTTGTGAGTAAGCTCATCAAGTATCAGATGGTTATTTGTTATTACTTATACAAAGCAGGTTTGCATTTATTTTGTTTCGAAAAGAAGCAAGACAAACACACGTACATTGTCTGCACATCTATTCATTTTGATTGTCTTCTATTGCTCTCAATCATGGTGTCAATTAACTTGTATGGTTGTCTAGAACTCTAAGTTCCATGTTGATTTATAATTTTTCAATCAGGTTACGTTTATCGGCATTCCCTTGTTATCTGCCGGCTCTGCGGTTAGATTGTTGAGCTATGAATCTCATGTTCTCCTCCCAATTAAAAGGTTCATTTTTCTTCCTTGGATTCAGGTTTCATGTGGTTCATTCTTACCCTCTCTCAACTAAATGCAGCAAAAATGTTTGTTCCGATACAGGGTTGATCACAAATTGAACCGCTGATTAATCTTTAAAAGAGCCTTAGAATAGTTAGATATTTTACAAAACGCAGAACGATTCATAATCTCTCAACTAAATGCAGATTCTGGTCTACTTGGGTCAAGATATTAATTTGTATAAATATTAAGAAAAAAAAAAAAGGAAGAAGACAAATCCATGCAATTTGACAGTAGCCCCCGAATGCAACTCTCTCCTGCCAGGACTGAGTATTCATTCTCTTATCTTGTTATGTATTGAATATCTGCACGTTCTTTAAGCCATTCAATCACTTTTGCTCCCTCTAGCACATCTTGTACCTATACAATTTTAAATAAACAGACAATGAAGCATGTTTGGTCCAACAACTAGATTTAAAGAGGACTCGAAATTTGTCTTAATTCTGCTGACATTATTTCAGACCTTATAAGAAAAGATGGTAATAGCCCTAACAAAATGGTTTAGGGAATGTAGGGAAGTAAAAAGAAACCAAAGCATCCTGACCTGTTCCTTCACACGGTCCTCGTCAAATTTTTGCTTGTGACGTTTGAATTCAGCAATAGAATTTTGCACCTCTTTCACAAGCTCCTCTGATGAAAACTGCAGTGAAAACCAACTTTAAGAACAGACAGTTGCATAAAATAGTAACATACTTCAAAAAGAATGTCTACAGCTTGAACTGTTGACGTTTACAAGGCAATTGTATCAATTATGTCAGTGGTTTGAAGAAATATATATTTCCTGCAAGTTTTCACGTTTAAAAATATCTCCAACTGCCAGATTCTGCTGTATCAAGTTTATTATGTTCTCTCTCTGGTTCTCCAGATATTCATTCACTGCCTTTGGACTTGACAGAGAAGCCAACTGCTGTTCGTTTAGCTTTACATTTGCCTGCAATGGTGAAACAGTAAATTATAGTTGGTGCAACCATGCACACATACAAACACATGCAAAAACACAAGCACGTGCAGTTGCTTAGTCATCAGAAACAGGTACTGCTTACCTGAATCTCCAGAAGTTTGGCTCCATAAAGCTGCCTACCTTGTTCCTCAAACAAGGATTGGGGAATATCGATTTCCACCATCTGATTGAACATCATAATGTCAAGTTAGTATTCTAGAAATAGAGAAAGAGAGAGACCTCAATTAAACTTATATAAATGTTAGTATCAACAACCTTGCGAAGCTGGTCAAGAATTGCATTATCAGTTGCTTGGTCTCTTGCAACTTGCTCCACTTCTTGGCACTTTTGCAATAATGATTCCTTGACCTGCAGATTCATGCCACAGAAAAGTTGTGCGCAAATGTAAATGTTGGAATTACAACAATCACAAAAAGGTCAGAGTCCATATATTATGTTAACCTGCTTCAAGTCAGTGCATCCAGGAAGAAGCTTATCAGCAATAGAGTCATTTAACTCAGGTAAATCCCTGTAGAATAGTTCTTTGCATTCAACCTATACGAAAATTAAAAAAGAGAAACAAGAAGAAAGTTTCACACTATTGCCCAACACCAAGTAAAAAGAAAAGGTTAGATGGCTAGAGTATTCATTGAATTATTTATAAATTTAAGCTTGGCTGAGTGCCTGAATATGTATTCAAGCAAATAAAGACTTGAGCAGATAATGTTACACCTTTCCAGTTTTAACATACTATTTTCCTTGAAATTTAGAAACCGAGAAAATCTGTGAAAGTTTTGAAATCATAAAAGAAAAATGAACTCACAGTAAATTGAGCTTGAACCCCACGAAGATTTTCTTGTTGCCATGATTCAGGAAATACAAGTGGAAAGGACATTGTTTGGCCTCGTTGAATACCAATTATGGAATCAAGGAAACCAGGAAGTACTTTATCACCATCTTCTGTGTCAAAATGAAAACCTGCAAAAAGATAAAAGGAGCTTCTAGCTAATAAATTGATCTCAATTTGAAAGACCAGGACTGCTTAAATTTGAAAATAGTACAGTGATTATCTTAGTAACTGATAAGTAATATGCAGGAAGATTATTAAGTATTAAAAATTACTGGCAAACCTTTGCTTTCTGCAGCTGGAATCTTTTGAACATTAGACTCATCTTGATCAATAGTTGTTGCTGATATATCAAGGACCGCAAGATCACCAACCTGAAAATATTTCAGCCCTCTATGAGTTGTAAAACTTCTATAATAATCAGGAAAGACTAAAAAATGACCATCTCAGTTTCATACTTGAAATTAAAACAAATTTGAGGCAGCTGTTAGTATAACCAAAGTACATTGGAGTTGAAGATGAAAAAGAGTACAATGTTACAAGGGAATTTTAATTAGAAAATGTTAAATCTGCTTAGAAAAGAAAGGAAAGAGAGTTTCTTAAACATGCATAACCTGTAGTCCTCTGTCAGTCACAATTCTCAGAGAACCTAAGGACTTGTGCCGACGCCTTATTTCCTGCTCACAGGCTCTTTCAGCTTCTATGTCATTGTCTATTTCAACAACAATCTTCAGATTTTTGTACCCATTCTCAGGTATCCATTTGACTTCAGGAGCCACATCTACAATGACATCATAACTGGAAAACAAATTAAATCTATAACCATCGGTATCATCCCTATTAGGGGCTTATGCAAATTTATTTTTTCAGTGTTTCCTTCTTATCAAATGCCTCTCCCTGACGTACAGCATGAGGTCCGTAACAGAAGATTCCAAGAGGAGTGATTGCATGTATTATTGTCCATTCGAAGGAACATGCAAGTGATATTTAAGGATGTACCATTTACCAACCTCAGAGAACTAAGAGCAGAATAGGTTTTCTCCATATCAGAAAATTTGGTTATTATGCGAACTGAATCTCTCAAAGCCCTTCCAGTTACCTATAGAACAAGATCAACCAAATATCACCAAGGTGATTCTTAACATGAATAGGCTAAAAACTAATATAAAGCAAACGTTATTAAACATACCGAAGACATAGCATGAGGGAGAGTCCTTTTCAAAATGGATTCTACTGTGGCCTTCTGAACATTTTCTTTCCCAACATAATTTAGAAGAACACTCTCTGGGATCTTTCCAGGGCGAAATCCAGGTATCTAGTATGTTAAAAACAAATGAATTGCAGCATTCAAAATGAATCTAACAAAGAACACAGCTAGCAATAGCATCAAAGCATCTCTAGCTACAAAAAAGTTGTAGTCCTCTATTTAGCATTCAAATAATTAATTTTCTTTGTAGTTGGAAACTATGGCAAGTGGGAGAGCATTAAACAACAACACTACAGATTTTATATGAAAATCGAAACCTAAAATCAAGAATTGCTTAACAGAGAAGACTGTATTATTAACAAAAAATGACACTAAAAACTAAAATTTGGCCAATAAATTACCTTTACTTGCTTCATAAACTCCTTTAGGACCCTTCTGTAACAATCCTGACCTACTGCTGCTGGAACTTCCACACTCAATCTTACCTACATAAAAAATAAAGCATTCGTTATTATCGAAGTTAACATAAAAATGAATGACATCAAGAAAAAGAAAAACTTCAAGTCGTGAAAATATCAATAAAAAAAAAACCAACATCTTACTCTTGAATTAGGCTCTTGAATCTCAGTGACCTTTATATCAGCCGGAAGCTTATCTGTTTCGACTCCGAAAGCCGCTGAAGAAGCTGCTGAAGCCTTAATAAGAGAGAGTGGCGGTTTAAGGAACTGAATTTGGCGGGAAAAAGAAGAGAGTTGTTTGAGAGGATAATATAATGGTCTTTTTTGGATTTTGTAATTGAATTGGAGAATTGGATTTTTGAGAGATAAAGGAATGGTGGCTTTGGGAGCGAAAAGGTGGGGTTTTTGGTTTAAATTGAGAGGTTTTGTTGAGTTAACACAGAGCTCCATTGTTGCTGCTCTGTGGAAGGTTGAAGCTTTGGGATTGAAGATAAAAGCTCGAACTTTGCTGTTGATATTTTCAATGAAGTAAACGGTGCGTTTTTGTAAACCCTAAGTAAATTCTTTAAACACAATTTTTTTTTCATTTTCTTTGTCCCACTTTTGGGATGTGAAGTTAAATATTCAACTACAAAAGTTCCGATGCTTAAATTATAAAAAAAAAAAAATCGTTTTTTATTATTTTTACTGAATTTAAAAAGAAAAAACTTTGATTTTGATGTACATAGTATTAATTTTTTTAATAATTTATATTTCATAATTTTTAATATAAAAAAATTTTAAAATCATGAAAATAATTATGTAACATAAAAAGCGTAAGACATTAAGTTTCAAAAAAATAAAAAAAAAATTTTAGAACATTCAAAAAATAACAAAAAAAATAAGAATAGAAAAACCATTATTTTTCTCTAAATCATTTTTTGTTTAACAAATTTAACCTTATATTATTATTAAAGAATCAGCTTTTATAAATTTTTTAAGAGTAGTTTTAAATTTTGTATGAATTTATCTTTTTTCTCAAACAATATATATTTTTAAATAAAAATTCGATAGTTTTTTATTTACCAATTAAATTAACTTTTGTAAGCCTCGAATCCGTTAATTTAATAACTTAAAAAAGAAGGATAAAACATTTTGATAATTTTATTTCTTTGATTAATATCATATAAAAACGTAAGAGAGTATTACAAAATTTAAATTTAAAAAATTTTCTTTCATGTTTATTTAATTGTAAGAAGATTAATCCAAAAAATATCTTATTATTAAGAGTTGTAATGGCTTGGATTATATCGATTTTTATTTAATTTTTTAATATAATATATAATATTAAAAATTTTTAAAATTAATATTGAATTTGAATCAATATTTTTTTAAAATTAATTTAATTTGAATTAAATTTTATTAATTTGATTTATCAATTTTTAAATTTTTATATATTATTTTAATAAAAAATGAATATATTTAAATAAATTTATATATAAAATAATTATTTTTATTTTATAAAAATTTAAAAATATATATAATTTAATAAAAATATATAATTTAATTCATTTCGATTTTTTTTTAATTTTTAATTTAAAATCTATTACAAATTTAATATATATATTTAATATCTAATTTTAATTCGAATAAAATAAAAAATCAATTCAAATCAAATTTAATATTATAATTTTTAAGGGATTTTCGATTTTTTATTTTTTTATTTTTTTTCTCACCACACCAATCAAACATGAAAAATGATTGCAAAACCGACGCCGTTCTTTACAAGTTCGTGTCTTGTCTTAGTTGTCGACCTGTCTGTCTCCCTTTTTAATTTACAGAACCGAACCCAAACATCACGAACCGTACCAAACACTCCAGCTATTTCAAACTCTTTTTATCGTCTCCTCTCTCCGGTTCCAGCAGTTAAATGGAAGGAGTAGGTCCACAAGGCTGGGCCGGGCTCGGCCAGGTACTGTGCAACGGCGGTGTTCAATGGCCCGGTAAGGAAGTGGAAGAAGAAGTGGGTCCATGTGTCGCCTGCAAATACCGTTAAACAATCTCAGTCCAACGGGAACAACAACGGCAACAGTTCCGTTGCTACCAGCATCCTACTCTGTCGGTGGACCCCACTTTCGTCTGCTGATTCCGGATCCTCTGCCGTTGACGGCGAGGACGAGGAGCAGCCTCCCAAACGCAAGTTCTGGTATACCCCAGTGAGTGTGTAAATATACGTACGTATCATATATGTATGCGTATAAGGACACGTATGCATCCCTGTATAAAGGTTCTGTCTTTCCTTTTCTGGTGGTTGTAGCTAGGGTTTTGTTCATAGATTTTCAGGTTTCTTTTTCTTCATGTTTTCAATTAAGCTGGAACTAAATTGTTAACTTTTTGTTCTAAGTAAAAAACAATTTTTTTCCTGGAATTTGAAAATTCAATGAGGAGTTCATTCGGTCGACTCGATTAACTTGGAATCGAATTATTTAAAATCTAATTAATTAAATTATATTAAATTATTTTTATTAATCAAAGTTATTAATTTTAAAAATTAATCGAATTTAATACGATCGATTGAATTAATTTTTTATTAATCAAATAATAATTACATTTAAATTAAATTATATTTTAAACTCTTAATTTTTTATATTCTAAATGAATTAAATAAAATTATCTAATAAAATGTTCAAAAATCAAAACATTATGTTAAAAGTTTTAACAATTTATGAAATAAAATGATCAAATTTCATGTATTTTTTATTTTATATTTAGATTATATTACATTTTGATTAAAATTTTAGTTAATTTGATTCGAAAATTAAATTAACCAAAAATTAAAATTATTTTAAAATTATTAATCGATCAAAATTAATTTAATAATTTGATCAATTAAATAAATTAAATTAATTCAATTGGTTAATTCGATTAAAACCAAATTATGCATCTTCCTAATTCATTGTATTTTATGCTTGAAAAATAATGGGTTTTTTCCCTTTAATCAGTGCATTAATTTGTTGATTTTGCTTTAATATTATTGATTTTTTTATTTGACAAAGTAGTGTTACGGCTGGTTACGTTGAAAACATGGTAGTACTTGTTATAAAAATGGTTGTTCATAAAAATGGTTGGTCATTATCATTTTTGCAGGTTGCTGTATTGGAGGAAAAGCAAAAAAGGGCAGATGCGAAACAGGCTGGAGATGAAGTTAAGACAGATGAGAATGATACCAACCAGTACCCAGATTGGCTATCAACCAAGAGTGATAATGAGCTGAACATGAATAAAGATTTGAACAAAGAAACTCAGGTAACCACTTCAATTCTGTTTTAATTATCTTAATTGCATTTGCAAGTTGAAAACAACTGCAATAGGACCTCCTAAAAGGGAAATAAGAACTGTAAAGATAGAAGATAGCCTTGAGTTTTGGAAGAACATTGTCAAAATGTTTGAAACTTCAGTATCTCATGCCTTCGTCCTCAGCTGGTTGGTAGGATTGAGGAAAAAAGTTGGGCTGGTTCTTGGAAGATGCTTACTTGTGTGTGAGGTAGTTGTGTTTAATTTGGGTAAATAAGGTAGAAATCTAAATGTAAGACATGAAATGGTTAAGATGCAGCAAGATACAAGCCTTTTCAAGTAGTCATAATGCCATTATAGTAGCATCATTCAGGTTTTAGGGTTGTCTCCATCCTATATAGAGCTGACTCACAACCTTGAAGTGCCATTAATCTGAACCTGTTTTGGTACTGTATCGTACCGATGTATTAAAAGTATGGGGAATGAACAGGTAAACCCATAAATTATTGATGTAAGGATCAATTTGACATCCCTAAGATTAAATCTCTTGCTCAAAGTTGAAACGTTTCAACATTTGATTCCCTAGCAACACTGAATAAAGCCAAGATCTTGTTTTGCAGCATTCTAGCATGGGTAATTTGGGCCTGGATTTGAGTTTGAAAGGCCATGATGATAGCTGCGATTCTGTTGGTGAGAAGGAAGGTCATGAGAAGGCAGCAAGTCAGCAGGATTTTGGACAATGGGTTGACATGTAAGTAGTTCAAAGGATAGAATTCATGTGCCAACAAGAATCCACAGATTTGGTCACTCCATAGCAGTGCATCATATGTAGCATATACTTGTATGTACGCTTGGTCATATGTATATTCTAGCCTTAGCAGCTGTTTGCTCCTTATCAAAGCTTGAGCTCATACTGCCGATACTGCTGTTTACCTTCGACATTGCAGCTATAATACATAGAATGAATCGATAATATCTCATTTTATCGTGTGGATTATGCTGTAAGAAGGCAGTGTAATCAATGAGAACTACTTTCTTTGTTCTATTTGCATGGCATTATATCGAATATTTGGGTTGAAAATCATACCAAAAGCCCTCTTGTGGCATCCTATTATGACTAGTGAAACAAGAAATTGATGGCCAAAAATCTAAACAGAGAAAAGTTTGCAAAGACTAATCTTAGCATGAAAACCTCATATGTAAATAACTCTAATCACACAGGCAAAGTGATTGAAAATTTGCCACGACTCTACCCACCCTATCATCAAGCATCAGAGCCTTTGTCATTGGTGTTACTGTAAGCTGCATCGTTATCCAGAGCTTGAGTAACACCAACCTCAGCTGGTCGAATAACTCGATCATGGAGCATGTATCCTGCCTGTAATAAAGAAGGGAAACAAACACTTCGCTAAACTATGACCACATCAAACAGCACAATCTATCAAAGACTGTACTTCTATAAAGAGAAGGAAAATCGAATTGGTAATTGAACTTACATCGTGTAATGGAGCTATATCAATAAAAAATGGAATAGAAAAATATTACCTTCAAAACATGAGCAACTGTGCCGGGAGGCTTAGAATTATCAGGTACTTGGAATACTGCATTGTGCCTGTGTGGATCAAATGGTTCATTTGTAGGATCAAATTTTTCCACTCCAAACTTTTTAAATACCTGGAAGTACAAACATTTATATCTGGTTAGTAACAGATTTAACATGTTATAGAACACATTTAGACACCGAACATTGTCAGAGTGACAGAATATACTGCAATTCCAAAATTAACTAAGCACATGACTTTGTATAACAAATTTTCAGATGAAGTGCAATAATTGAAGTGAATTCAGTTCGCTAAGTTTGCCCCTTTACCAAATAACAAATGTGGAAATCGAACCTACAAATTTAAGGAATTATAACAGCTCAGCTTCATAAGAACTCCCAATATCATAGGAAGCTGTGAAACTAACCACTGACTTCTAATGAAGTAACAAAAAGTTTACCTCTCCAAGCTGTTTTTCAGTCATTTCAACTCCTTCTAGGAGTGTCTTTAGCAGTGGCACAGCTCCAACAGTGTCTTTGGATTCATCGATCTTAGGGAAACTGCCTTTAACATGCATAGAAGCCCTTCCTAAATTGTCAGCAACATCTAGTAGGCCCCTTGCAAAATTCTGCAGCACATTGACAAATAATTACTATCATGTCTGAAATCCCAAAGACAACAGAAACCAAGTGTTCATTGTGTCACCAATAATACCTGTATGGCAAATTTTTTTGAGTTCTCTGCTTCACGTCTTGTTCTGCTCATAACATTCTCCATTTCTGCAAGAGTGCGAACAACTTTGTCCTGCATTTGTTCAATCTCCTTTTGCTTTGCATTCAAGAGTCCTTCTTTCTCCTCCACAAGTTTGACCATATCAGCCATTGATAGGTCACCATCACTCTCAGAATCTGAATCAGAAAATGCAATTCGTTTAGTGGCTCTTCTCCTTCTTTTATCAGATTGAGGCATTGTATTTCGGGATTCTAAGCTAAAACCTGATTCTTTTGATTGATCAGAAACTTCAGCCTCTCCAGGATTCGTATCACCACTTGGCTTTGCAGGCTCTTGACCATTATTTTCTACAGTACTCCCATGTTCCTTTTCTGAAGGCTCAGGGGAGGAAGACGAAGAGATCCCAAATCGTTGGAATGCAGAGAAATTCAGGCTTGAATGATGCGGCAGAGACACGTCACCCGCCAACTGCACAGAGAAAGCGCATGCTTGTAATATTGCACCGAACCTCAAAGAAAATGCACTAAAATGACATAATTTATCCAAATGCAGGGAATCAGTTATGTTTCGAAGGATCCAAGATATGGATTCAAGATCCTACATGATCAATCAATTGCTGAAATAAAAATGAAATTGAAACCAAAGAAGACCCTGACAAAGTCAATATGAAAAATGAGGCCACAGCTTATAAATCATTAATTTAATAACTTCATTAAGGCAACTAGTAAAATTTTCACCTTTTTTTATGTTTGATTCATTGCAATAACCAAAAATGAATCTTTTACTTCAAGTGCTTAACTTTACACAATCAAAACATACAATTTAAATAAAAAAGCTAGAACAAATCTAAAGGCACTTACTTTCATAAAAATTTAAACCCTTAAAATTTGAAAAAAAACCTAGAGAATTCCAACAGGATAAAACTAAAATATGCAAAAATAAAACACTGTCCAGATAAAAAAATAATCACAATTGAGCTAATCTAAAGAAAGAACTTAAACCCTAGCAAAACCCTCTCCCAATTAACGAAAAAAATCAAAAGTTTTACTTCATTTATTGTAATTTTTCAGTACCTTATTCGGAGATTCACAAACAAGAGAGTGAAACTGAGTGGAAAAGCTTGGCCTTTGAAGCTTCTTCGGAGCAGAAAGAAGCACGGAACGCGCACTCACGCTCCTCGAAACGCGTGATAAAGCCCTCGACATTAACATCTCTGAAAAAGAGTACGGAAGAAGTAGGTGGTTTAGGGTTTTAGACGTTATGGGGAATAAAGAGAGAAGAATTGGATAAAAAAGGAAAGTGTGTGGAGAGAAAGAAATTTGATTTTTATATATTGTTTGACTAAACTATCCTCTATCTATAAATTAAAACGACTCCGTTTTGAAAGGTATATTGGTGAATTTGGACACTCCTAGGGGTTTTTATTGTCCCTTAAATTATTAACGTCAGGTCTTTCGTAATAGAAGTATCCAGAAGGTTTCATTTTTCACCCTTATTTAAATATGTGGGCGGTTTCCGATCCTTGTCAATAAAACGACAGCGTATACCCGATTGTAATATGAATAGGCTTGGACATCATATCCTTTTCATTGGCATGACTATGGTTACAGATTTTTGCAGTTGGCAAGAAATAGAAACTGGGCCAGCCCAGGTAATCTTCTAAAGGCTATTGTTTGTGATCACACTTTGAATTAAGTTCAAGTGTTCCAATGCGACTGACACCGCCAACAACGGCATCCAAAAAATTTAGTGTCAACCCCATTACGAGAGAATTGCATAAAGTTTCTTTATCAATGGCTATCGATGAATCTTTTCAAAATTCATGAATGGAATGTAAATTAATAGAGCTTTTAATGAATTATTTGAGAATATATTTAGTTTTTATTTGTTTATATTTATTCATTAAATTTAACAAATAATTTTAAATAATATTTTCATATTCATTTATTAATTAGATCGAATTCGAATTAAAATTTATTTGATTTATTTATGTTTTTATTAAATCTGTTTAAAATTTATTCGTTTATAATAATATTAATAAAATTATTTTTTTATTTTTTTTTAATTCTATTTTAAGATTCATTCGGATTCGTTTATATTAATTTAAGATTATTTATTTAAATGGTTTATTTGTTTAAATATGATTGATTATAATTTGTTTATTATTCATGAATATATTCGTAAATATATTCGTTTAATGTTAACGAATTAATTCATTTAACTTAATCGATTAAACACCGATAAAACATGAATATCTTACTATTTAAATGAATCAAGTTTGATGAATAAAATAATTTTTTTATTGAACACAAATCGAGTTTGAACATTAAAAATAAATGAACAAACCACAAATATATATTCGTTGGTTCGTTGATATTTGATTTATTTATAATTCTAATGAAACTCATAAAAAAAAATCTTCATTTTACACACCTATAAAATGCTTATTATTTATGCATAACTCACAACATGCATAAATTTAAATTTTGCATGCATTAAATTGATGTGAGATAATGTTACTTTAAAATTTATTCAAAATGAAAATTAAATTCAAATAAAACTTTAAAATACTCGTAACTATATTATACAAAAAATTAAATTCTACTTATATAATTTTATTTAAAGAAAAAAAGGATTCAAATTCGATTTTTCGAAAAAAAAAAAAACATATATTACCAATGAATCAAAAGATTTGGATACATGAAAAAATCAAAATTGAAAGTGTCACATTTGACTCGTGACTCAGAGGTTTTGGTCCATGCCTAGTTTGTTAATGGAACCAATGCTAAGCTACGTAAAGAAGAAGAAAGTTTTGGTGGTTGCTTCTGGGCGTTACAACTGCATGGATTCTCTCTTTAAAGCAAAAATTAAAGTATTAGAAAGCAATTGGCTCCTCCAAGTTTTTAATCACCGCCGTCCACATCACAATGGTTTCAAACATGTGGGCTCAACTGCTGATTTGGAAAGTCTGGTGAAATTTTCTTGCCTTCTGTGTTTTTCTTCCAGAAGAAGAAATTAATAAAATTCAACTTCCAATTTCACTTCTGTAGCCTAAACTAATTGATAGTGAGGGAAAATGGTTGCTGAAACAGAGTGCATCTGTTCATTTATTTGACAGATCAAAAGATTGTTACATTGGAAGCAGTCGTGTAATCTGTTGTTGGTAAGATGGATTTTTCGTATCAGTTTCAAATAACATTGAATATATATAACAATAACAACAATAAATTAAGTTTTGCATCCCATAATTTTGGAATCAATTATATAAAAAATCAAAAGAAGAATCATGTTCAATCGTAATTTTAAATTTTTTTGTATTGTTTATTTTTATTAATATATTATAATAAATTCTCACTCGATATTTGATCGAAATGTTATGTTATTATTGATATAAATATCATCAGGAAATAGGCCAGAAGGTCGGTTGATACCAGCCAATTTACACACCATAGCCAAAACATTGTTAGTGTAATGACCGTTGGCTTAATTACAATGCTCTCTCAACTACTTTGAGCATTTAAGAGTCTCAACAAACTTCATCTGTCTCATTGTCTATTAACTTTCTCTCATTCCTCACTCCATTAAGAATCATTCACACCTGCTTCGCCAAACACCTTTTTGCTATACATAATACAAACCAGAAAATTGGAGTGAAACTTAAATATGGCATGTAAGGTTGCTACATTGCTGTTCTTGGTTAATCTGCTACTGCAAATAGCAAAAATAAGTGCAATAGTCCCTGCAATTATAGTGTTTGGAGATTCTACGGTGGATCCCGGGAACAACAACCAGATATCTACTGTCCTAAAGAGCAATTTTCAGCCATATGGGAGGGATTACTTTGATGGTCAGCCAACTGGACGTTTTTCCAATGGTAGGATTGCGACAGACTTCGTTTCTGAAGCCTTTGGGATCAAGCCAGCAATACCTGCATATCTGGATCCAAAGTTCGACATAAAAGATTTTGCTACTGGAGTTTCCTTCGCTTCGGCTGGAACTGGTTATGACAATGCTACTTCCGATGTGCTAGTAAGTCAAGCTATGGCTTGGTGATATGTGAACAGTATTCAGACAGTGAGTTATACATTTATTTGCATCTGATTTCCATGAATGTTTCTTGCAATACAAAGATAAAAGATCTATGTTTCTACATGTTCTTTTAGTCTAGTTCAGTAGTTTCAAGTCTATCTCCAATAAGTCATCAATTACTAGCTATTTTCTCCATTTTCCTTGAATTTTGCAGTCTGTCATACCTTTCTGGAAGGAACTGGAGTACTACAAAGAATATCAGAACAAGCTAAGAGTCTATCTAGGCAATGAAATTGCTAATCATCATTTGAGTGAATCACTGCACCTGATAAGCATAGGAACCAATGACTTTCTAGAGAACTACTACATTTTCCCGACCAGATCTTCAGAGTATTCTGTCGATGAGTATCAGATTTTTCTGATAGGAATCGCCAGCAATTTCATCAGAGAGCTGTACAAACTGGGAGCTCGGAAGATAGCAATTGGTGGTCTTCCTCCAATGGGATGTTTACCATTGGAAAGAACGACAAATGCGTTCTTTGGAAGTGAGTGCATCGAGGAGTACAACAATGTGGCTAAAGATTTCAACAAAAAGTTAGAGATTGCAGTGTCAGAGCTGAAACAGGAGCTTGGTGGAATCCAACTGGTGCAGTCAAACCCCTATGATAAGCTCTTAGAAATGATCCAGAATCCAAGTTACTTTGGTAAGTTTTTAACGATAATTTCCACTACTAACCAATTTTGCTTGACATTGAAACATTTGAATAAGGGCATATCCACTAATTGAATTCAATCACCTAACTTGTCCAAACTCATTAAAGCTGAGGTCCCTATTTTATGCCATCCAGATGTGATGCATCAAACCAGTCTAGTAAAATTAATGAGGTTGGTGATTTTGCACGAGTTTTAGTATAAAATGGCATAGACATAGAAGGACAATATATAAATAAGCAACCATGCTTACAAAAGATATGAAACCAGAAAGGAACTAGATGTTTTCAGGCTCCCCTTGTCGTGTCTTGCCTCTTGCAAGTCGCAAGGACCAGATTCACTACTTTCATACATATTCTTCATCTATTTAGCCAAAAGTAATTGAACTTTTTTTGTTTAACATGCATATAACAAGGCAAGTATGCAATCAATAACACCAAACAAACAAGCCTTTTCAGGCAAGCCATGCCGCCTATGTGTGTGTCTGTGTGTGTGTTTTTGAACCTACGTGTGCAACAGTGGGAGTGCACATAAATCAAGGAACATGTGTTAACATATTTTCTCCTATAAGGTGATTCTTCTGATAAATTTTCCACATTACAGGATTTGAATATGCAGAAACAGCATGTTGTGGGACTGGACTCTTCGAGATGAGTTACCTATGTGACCAAATGAACCCGTTTACATGTTTAGATGCCAATAAATATGTATTCTGGGACTCCTTTCACCCAACAGAGAAAACAAACGCCATTTTGGCTGATTATGTGGTCAAAACTGCCCTAGCTCAGTTCCTATAATCACTAAAAGTAAAAGCAAGAAGCACTGGTTCATTGTTGTACAACTACATTTGGTATTATTTCAATGGCTATTAAACTTATTAATGCCTTTTCAAGTACATTCCATGAAGGAAAATATATCAAACAAATAAATCAACTGGAAAACCGCAGATTAGATGAATTTTACCATAAGAACCAGTTTAAACTTTAAATCAAGTAAGATCATCCCCCAATTGGAAACAACAAATATTTTTAGGAAAACATTCTGTTGTGATCATTCATTGACAATGGATTTTACATTTGGCACAATCAGATATCCATTTTTTGGTAGAGTTCGGATACAACAAAAGCCATACATTGTAAACGTTTATTCCTAGGAGAAAATGCCCATACTATGTCAGGGGAACCATTTAAGAAATTCCTTTACAACTTCATTGAAATTTCATCCTCAATTTAATTATAAAAAATTCATCTACTTATAAGTAAGAGAGGTCATTTACTGCTGAACATGAAAGAATTAAAGCTCTTTTTTTCAGTTTTTCTCTTTTGTTGAATAAATGGGGTCTAGGCTCTCTTGTCTAAGAGCTAAACATGGCAGCAGCATGTATGAGAGCACAAATATTGTTATCAGCTTGGGGAAAGGGAATAAAAGTAGTAGCAACGCAAAGAAAGCTTTAATTTGCATCAAGAATTTTATAGAGAGGTCAGCTTGTAAGTTGATCAAAAACTATACTGGAAAGTCTGGCTCTGGCTATGGCAAGAATAAGTCTACTCTAAAAAGGGCATGTTGTGCTTGTATTTCATCAGAGAAAAGGACTTCATTGACAACTGGTTTATTCAAAATGAAGTCACTTTTGTTGAAGGCAGGAAGTGGTGATCATGGAGGAAGCAAAGGCAATAACATCAATGGTGGCAAGAATGGTGGTGGGGTTAATGGGAAGGGAGCTCATGATGATCAGAAGAAGCAGAAGTAATTTTCTCTTTTTTTTTTTATTCCCTTACATATATATTTTTGATGTTATTGTATAGAGGATAGCTTGAGCCCTGAGGACAAAGAATTTGGACTTGAACTTCTTGTGTAGAGGTTAGCTTTTCAAACTTTTTTTTCATCTTCGGATGAATTAGACTTCAAATTCTTGGTAAATTCTTGAAATTAATGAAAAAATCTTAATAAAGCTAGGATTCCAAAAAAATGATGGCTTCCTCTGCATATATACATACAACCTCTTTTTTCATAATCATTTTCACAGAATAACATAATGAGTAAAATTGTAAAAAGAAAAGACAATGATTTAATCACTCTCAATCATCAAGAATGATCGAATATTACTATCACAAACAATTACCAAATATTTATTAAATACGGTGATTTAATCACTATGTGCATATCATCATAGTTTATTGAATAATTATTTCATACCAAACATTATCTAGAGGTTGTATGAATCAAATTATCAATAATATATGCACCTTTGTAGACAAGAAAAAAATTAATCTTACCCAACATCTGTATGATCTATTGATAGAATATTGAAATTTTAATTGTAGTGATAAGTTAAACTCTTAATGCCTCAAATACCAAAAAAAAAAAAAGGTAAATCTTATTATTCATATGAAAAAAATGGCTTTGGATCAAACTTGACGCTAGTCGTTGGATTGACCAAATTAATAGTTCTAAACACACTTTGATGTCAATAAAAACTCAAATTATAGACAATTAGATAAAATTAAGCTCACCATCTATCCCACATGGAATTGAAAAAATGCTTCCTGATAAGACAATTCAAGAAATATTCAAACCCTTGTTCTCGTATACTGATATTCAAAAGAAAATACCTCAGCGCTTTGATATTGGAATAGAAATAGTACCACAGTGTCGATCAAAAAATTCCAGGCTTCAATATTAAGCATCATGAGCCAATATCTTCCAATATTCCTCCTCAGACTTTTGTTTTTCAAGTCTCCAAACTTCCCTTCGCCGACTGATGAATTCCTCAGCTTTGCATCCACTCCTAACAAGTAGCTGAGACAATGTGATGTAGTCAGAGTCTCCACAATTTGTAGCAACAATGGCACCACTTCCACTCTTCAATATCCCATTTTCATCACCATCATCATCATCAAAAGCCTCAATCTCCTTCGTAATTGTACGAATGTGTTGCCGAGTATTAGTAGTATTTCTAATAATGTTTTGTGGAACAACTGCCCTCTTCATGCCAAGACTGTCGGGATCATCCGAAGGAGGTTTGGAATAGGCCTTGCCGTCTACCAATAAGCTCGTTTCGGCCTCCATCTGTTTTTGGTTACGATCACTAGGCTGAGGATGGTAGTAATAATGGTGGTGATGCTGATGCTTCATGTCAGTAAGAAACCTACAATTGGTTTTCCTTAAGGTTACTTGGGATTTCCTAAGATGGTTCAATTTTGATTGAAATGTTGATACTAAGTTCTTCTACAGCTTCTTAGGGGTAGACATCAGCTTCTTCTTCTTCTTCTTGTCTTTGACAACGGAATGATTAGACATGGCTTAAAGGGTTTCCAATGGAGCTTGTTTCACACCAATTTGCTATGAAGATATCAGTAATACAAAGGGAAAGATTTCTATGATCATCATTTCATCTCTATTGTTTCTCTTGGAAAGACAAGATGGAAAATAGGTAAGTTGTTTCTTTTCTTAATTCTTGTTTCGATTTTGGTTTTTTTCATGGTTTTATAACCCTAATCCCATCATTACCATTTTTAGATTAACATCAAATATTTTCATGATTACTTCATTAAAAAAACTTTGGTTTAATTTCAGTAAAGAAAAGAACTTAAATTAATTTTTTCTAATTTGATATATTTAATAGGAAATCCAACTTATAGTGAAACATTTCTTCAATCAAATTCTTGGCATTTAAACAAGCTCTCTCAGATTTAAAAAGAGGGAAAAGCTAAATATGGACAAAATCAAAAATAAAATAAAAATAATTACTGAGATTGGTAGTTCCATGAATTACTATAGAGAAGAGAGAAAAAAAAAACTAAATATAATATGAATTTTATTTCTACTATCTTGGTAATAATCATGATTGATTTAAAAAAAACAATAAATAAATAAATATGTAAAAGCTTTTAAAATGATGCATAGCTTTATATATATACAAAGATTTAAGGACATTGGGGTTAATAAAATATAAGGAGAATTTTGTTTTTTAATCAAGAATTAATATCTGAATATTTCATGATCTCATGCCTCCATGTTCAGGCAATTTCCCTTGATTTTAGGAAATTTTCTCTTTCTTTTTTTTTGGGGGGGGGATTTTTAGGTTTATAATTTTATGGTAAAAAATTTAATTAATCTCTTGTCCCCACAAAATCTTATCTTTGATCCATTTTAAATCCTACGTAAAGATATCAGTTCAATGTAAGGAGCATTTTTTTTTTATTTAATACACTGTTTTTACCATATGTAAGAGAACATAAAAATCATTATTTTTGTTTCTAAATTTAAAAATCAAAGAGATTATTTTATTTTTAAAATCAGGTTAAGCCATGGATTTATAAATAGATTTAAGAATTTTTTAAAATTTTTTAAACTTATAAATTGCATATCAATAAAAAATTATAAAAATTTAAATTTAAACATTTTACATTCAGATCATAAATTTTAATCACTTACGTCAATTTTTGTTCTCCCAATAAAAAAAAAATTTTGTTCCATTCAGCTGCTTCTGAATCTGGAATTGCTCACCATGACAATCAATCATTGCATTCCAGGCTTTTATGTTGGGAGTGCATCCTCAGGCAGTCCACATTTTGGAAAAAATGTTAAGAAGGCAGTAACCAACAAATTCATCATGCTCACAACCAGTCTTAATCACCAAAGAATGCGCCATCAGGCCCCATGTTAAGTTTCCCAAGTACCTACAACTCGTAAGCACATTTGACAAAGTAACCTTTCTTTTTTTTTTTTTGGTCCATTTGGTCAGGGCTTGATTTAGAAATAATAATGAACAACAATATGGATTACTAATAGGGTTGGCAATAATATTCCAATTCGTCTGGTTTTAATTCAATTCAATCTTTTAAAATTAATTTATTTTATAAGATTTCGATCGAAATCAAGATTGAATTTTAAATAAATCTATCCTGACTCAATTTGATATATATAAAAATATTTTTATTAATTATTTAATTTTATATTTATATATATATGTATTATATTAATAAAATTATTATATGATATTTTAATTTAAAATATTAATTTAGGATAATTTTATATTTATGTATAATTAAGGTATAATTTATATTAAAAATAATATTTTACGAATATTATATAAAATTAATTTTGAATTAAATCAATTACGATTTTATATATATATAAATTTATATCATATATAAAAAATAATATTTTAATATCAAATTGAATCAAATTTAAATATTTATTTTATAAAATCGAATCAGACAAACAAAAATATATCAGCACCTAACTTATTGCTACCACTAATTACTAATGATTTTACAAAAAAACAAGTCAGGGAATAGGAAACAAAACATAAAACGAAAATTTTATATAATAAAGGAATCAAAGGACAAAACCTTTAAAAACACATCCCCCATCTCTCTCCCTCACTCATCCTGAAAATTCCCAAATATGGTGTGCATAAATTTTCTCTCAAGAAATTAAAGACTGACAATGGTCTTTCCAAGCAACCATAAAACAAGAGATAACTCAATGCCAAAAATGGTGTGAAGTGTGCTCCTATCAAGTGTGAAGCCATAGATTGTAATCCCAGCTCGATTGTTCTCAAAATATGTCACTGTCATCAAGAAAAGAACAAAAATGAATCATCAATGAACTCAAGACAAACAATATTTATGTTCCTTTGACTGTTTGACATGTAGTGTTTTTCTAGTGACATTATTACCTAGAGCTTGTCTCTTTTGGTATGAGATGGTACTATAAGCGTAAGCTGGGATCAGCTTGTTGTTGTCTATGTCATCTTCTTCATCACCAGCATCCTCACCGTCTGATTCACCATCTGTACCCACATGGGGATAGGCTTGACGACTATAGGCGGCCGGAGTCCTTGGTGTCTCACCATCGTTTGCATCGAAGGAATCTAATGTTGCACAAACATGCCACTTAGCAGCAAGGCATGTGACAGATTGTGCTTTGTGAGTTATTTTTGTTGCACTTCGCAATAATATACAGAGTCCCGTGAGAAGAGTTATAGAGCACATCTGCAACAAAAAAAAACACAAATTAACACATCGATTAATGTATGGAAATTTACAAAGTTTAGAACAGATTAATGAACAATTACAGCAAGTTCTCCAGCTTTGTAAATATTCAATTCAGAAGTAGCCTTTGTAGTGATAAGCAATGAAGTGAATTGGCTGCCCGTGACCAAGATCAGGCACCATAATATAAACGCACGATATCTATGGCTGATGATCCTCAAATGCCTCCTGATCCTCAGGTGTTCAGACAAGACTGAACCAACATCAGAATCAATTTGGAAAACCCCAGCAAAATCCTGGAGCCGGAGAACCTGGAGGTTGCAGATCAGGTGGAAGAGAACACAAGCGAGGAAGAAGACTGTTGTCCGATAAAGCCATGAACACAACTCCACCATGCAGGCTACAGTGTCACTCAGCCAGACAATGCCTAAGAAAGGAATTTGCGAAGCACCTGAGGCATACCACCATACTTTGTATGCAGTCTCAGCTATGAAACATGGGAGAACAAAAATTGATACAATCTTCAGTGATCTCTGCATAAATTAAACATTAAAATAAATTACTTTAACTTATGAGTTCGAAATTTTCAAATGTCTATCGTCCAAAATCCACAAGCCAAGAGGAAAATAATCAGTTGGAACCATATTATAGGCTTTTCAAGTGAACCACTATGCGTTCTGCATTTCCTTATAACTATGATCTGATATTCACATGTTTCAATGAAGAGAATGAATGCCACAAGGAAATTGTTGATGTTTGCAATTGGATTCAAAAGAAGATAATTGTAGTTATCAGACATTTGCTATCATTCATCTGAAAATTCTCAGCGTTTTTAGGAATCTCACTGTATAAAAAGTTAAGGATGAGTCATCTTCCACTATGAGGAATCTAGAACTAGCTAAAGAACAAAGTACCCACTTAGTCTTAATTCAAGTCCTAGAAGTTTTTGGAGCATATTCTATTGCCAAAGTCCCAGAAATCTCTGAGCAATTATTGGATTGTTTGAGCAATCAAAACATCTAGAACATGGTTGTTGATTTCTATGTGGCTAGGAAGCAATGAGGGAACCACGTAATAGGACATTTGTGGCAGATCAAGTCAAAAACAGCATGATTATCGGTGTGATTTCAGTGAATTATGGATCTTTGACTTGGATCATTTCAATCAGAAACTGAAAATTTCAAAGGAATTGAAACTAAAAACTCTAAAGCTTCTTCTCTATCAATAATCAAAGGTTCAGACAATAGCAAGATCCTGAAAGAATAAGAAATTCAATCAAATCCCATATGAAAACTCTTCTAACATTCCAATTTAAAAAAACAAAAAAGTATGAATTTAAAGAACACAAAGAAACAGTGGAAGAGTAAAACTTACATTGAGCTTACCAGTGTATCCTTTCCTAACAGTTTCACTTTCATCACAAAGTTTATCAAAAAACAAGAACCTTCTCAAACCATATTTCTTCACAAACCTTGTCAAACAAACAAAAGACAAAGCTGCAACACTGCTCAAAGACAGCTGAACAACCCAATCATAAGGCCTTGCATGTCTAGCATCACAAGTGGAACAAGCTAACAAAAAATGAGATACAGCTGGAACAACAAGTCCCAAAAAAATGAACAAAAACCAAGATAAACAAGCTGTCCAGATATTGGATTGATCAACACACATCCATCTTAGGTATGTTCTAAAGCTTTGTAACTCGTCTTGCGCATAAGAAATGCTTCTCGTGAACCTAGTTCGATCCACCAAAGGCTCCCCGGTGTCTCCCATGGAGGGTTTGCTTAGCTGTAAACAACAGGGGAGAAGCTGAAAAGTTCGAGGTTGAATAAAGAAACTGTTGGTTAGTTTTTATAACTTTTGGTTGCTGGAAGGAGGGGAGGGTATTGTGGGCCAATGAGGGGAGAACAACTGTTGGAATATTGAACAAAAAACTACACTTCAGCAAGGTTCCATATGAATTACGAAGCAAGTTGCTTGCACATATAGCATAATATACAGCTAGCGGAGGTGTCACGGATTTAAGAAAAAGTTCTGAATTTTACATCGAACATAATAGGAGGATCCCTGGGATATAAAAGGGTTCACACTACCTTTTCTTCTGAGACGTCTTTTGTAAGACAAAACCGTGAGGCCAGGGGGTCAGAGTGAATAATACCTCACAAGGGTGTGAATCATGGCGGGTAGGTTGATCCGGGACGCCGGAAGAGTGAATACCCGGATCTCGAAGCCGCACGGATTCGGAGCTTGAGTTTCGACCCGTGATAATTGATATCAGAGCAAGTTCGAGTCTTCCAAGCCCAAACATGGCATCTTTTTGGCCTATGTAACATGGTTCCGCTGGTTTTGTTAGACAAAAATCCCACTGTCACATCCCTACAATCATTCCACAATCTTTCCCAATCCCATATCCAAAATGAACTAGGATCAAACCAAGCCCTACTATAAATCCTCAAATCAAAAGTCACCACTTCCAAATTCATCAACTCGTTCCTCATGCAATCACTTGCATGATTCTTAGACAAACATTGATGTTGCATCAAATGTTGCATTAACTACAACTTTAGAGCTTGATTCTAGATTGAAGTAATTGATGTTGGTAGACAAGAAAGAGTATTTTCGCTGATAAATCAGATATGCCATGGTACTTTCAATAGAGAAACTTGTTTTCTTGTTGGGATTTTTGAGAGAAAATTGTATCTTGAGGCAGGCTGTTAATAGGGATGATGAGGTGATGTTGAAGTGAAAAACTTGGACTGAGTTGAGGTGGACAATGGGAGGTTTTGGATGTGAAATTATGATAAAAAAAACATGCAAGAATAAGCAATAAAACAAGTGTGAGAATCGACAAACAAATGAAGATGTCAAAGCATTTTGATTCATTGAGTTGCTCTTTGGGTGAACTTTTATGACTCATTTTGTCGGAGAATTGAAAGAATTCAAGGACTCAAACAATTGTGAGAATGAAAAATGGAGAAGGAAAACATTTTTTTTGTGAACCCTAGAAAATTATTTGGCTTGAATTTTGGAAATCATTTTCTATTCAATGTTGACAAAATAAACCTAGTAAATATTCCCTATGAAATCAACATGTAAAATGGAAACAATTGCCATATTTAAAAGGAAATCCACCATTAATAAGGAAAGCACCAAGACTTATGTTTGTGTCAGTGAATCGATATCAAGTGTTAAACTCTTCCGAAACTGTATTAGATCTTTGCTTGGGCTAATAGCCTAAAACAAGTCATATATGCCAATCTTTTCAATGAAAGCAAACCAAACCAGGTTTTGGGTCATGGGAAAGGAGTCATATCTTGTTAAAAACTTCCAATAGCAAGCTGCAGGCATTGGATTTGGAACCTTTTAGACATTTCCTGCTATAGTTCCTCGCTGAAATGATATCCATTTGGGATAATTATTGTCCTAAGTTCTCATATTCTTAACTGAATTTGTTCTCCCTTAAATTATTGGAAAAGAAAAAATACCATTCATCCAACTTCAGAAAGGCTTGAGAGATAGAATAACACCCAAACCTTCTTCCATGGAAAGCATATTTGGGGCAGCCCATTTAGAAAAATTTTGTGACGAATGGGAAAATCTTTGCTGTGATTAGTGTGAATAAAATAAAAACTTATCACAAGCATCACTCATGTCCATCCATTTTTTATTTTTAAGAATCAAAACAAATCAGCTCGATGGAAGAGCAGCTGCAAAGGTGTTATTGGTTCCCATAGTCCACCATGAGCTCTAGCTCTTGCTTCAAGATTTTTAAAAATTTTTTAGTAGGTCTTTGTTTAATTTTCTATGGTTTTCATTTTAATAAGATTAAAATGTTAGATTAATCAACTTTTGGTTCAAACCCATAACCCAAAAAATTAAAAAAAAGAATGAACCACCCACCCAAGAAAGGTCAAATTTGCAATTGCAAAAATTCTACGCAAATGGGTTATATTACATTGGGATGCATCCTTGAATCATCCCCAATTCTCAAATAGGTCATTATTAGTCAAACCCAGAAGAAAAAACTTGTGAAAAAATCACAACACATCACTCACCATAGTGCAAAATTCCATTAAGTTAGATCAGATTTCAAGGTGCCTTCAAATTTAACCAAAGATGATTGAAAATCAAGAACCAAGCAATGATCATTCCTTTTTTGTTTTTTTCTTTGATGGAAGCCAGGAGAAAGCATGATGAAAAATTTTGAAATTTGGTACATTGAATTGATTCACAGCTAAGGAATGAAAAATACTCTGCCTTGTGATTGAATTAATTGCGAAAAATTCTCTTTCTTCTCCACCTCTAACTGATACAGCTACCACATTAATACCCACAATCCAAGTAAGATGCAAAAATATGAAAATCTACCCTTTTTTTTTTTTTTTGTAAATGGAGTACATGAAAACAAGACTTGAATCAAGAACAAAAGAAGCAAATGACAGGCATGCAAACAGAAACAAACCACAAGAAAGCATTGCATTGAAGATCAAAGCAAGAAAAAAGAGAAAAATGAACTAAAGTTGATGACATTTATGCAAATGAAAGATCTGTCACAAGAAGCTGAATAAACCCAGATCTAATAACATCATTATATTTCTAACAACAAAGAATTATGACCCATTTTTCATTTTAATCTGTCTCATAATTTTACTTTTTGCATTACAAAAAAACAGAAAGTTAGGGAAAAAAGACAGAGAAAATGACGGAAAATGTGGGGTTTTGATCCATTTGAGAGGAGATTGAATTAGAGCAAAATTTTAGACAAAGGAAATGAACTCAGATCTGGGATATAACATCACAAACCCTAAATCACCATCATCATATTTCTAAAAACAAAGATCATCATCATATTCATCATTTGATAAAATCAAAGGGATCATATTTCATACTCATACGGAGATTAAGAACATTTCATCTTAATCATGTCTCATCCTTTTTTTTTTCTTTTTTTTTCGTTTTTTTTTCGTCTTCCGCTTAAAAAAAAGGAAAAAGAAAAAGATTCAATAATTGATCATCACCATCTCACCATCATCATCATCATCATCGCTGATCAAAGACATAAAGCGGTACATTGGAGATCATCAAGATCATCCAACGGTGGAAAATTGAGATCAAAAGGCAACGTTTTCCTACACGAAGACGACGCGATATCCCCATCATCAACAACCGACGACGACGAATCACAGTCACTGTGGCAATCCTCCGGCACCATCGGCGGCGTCCTCGGGTGATACTTCCTAGTCGAAAATACCGCAAAATCCGCCGATTTTTGCGGCGGTTGAACCGGTCTCGGCCCACTAAACGACTCCACCGTGCTACTCATGCCACTCCTAGTGGGTCTTTGCGGATTCACTTCCGAGTCTTGAAAATCACCCATCGCATACAACCGGTGGTGGTGGGGGTGGTCGACGAACCCATCGTTGTTCCGATGATGTGTTTCGAAAGGAAAAGCTGGGATATTCGACGAATTGATGGGAAAATTTGTTTTAGCTTTCGGTCCACGGAGTGACCTCGCCGCCGCATCGTAGGCTCGAGCTGCTTCTTCGGCTGAGTCGAAGGTCCCTAACCAAACTCGGGTCTTTTTCCATGGGTCTCTGATCTCAGCTGCAAATTTACCCCATGGTCTTTTCCTAACCCCTCTGTATCTTGGTTCTTTAATAGATCCGTTGGGTTCTAGTGCCGGTTTTGAAGCTACGGCGGTTGCTGCCGTGGCACCTCTTCCTCTCCTCATCGTAAAACAATCAAAAGCTTCAGATTTTCACCCAATTATCTCAAAAGGGTTATCCAAAATCAAACGTATAAGTTCAAAGATTGAAAGAATAGTAATAATTACGAACACAATACAAAGGGGTTGATGAAAAGATTACGGATAAAAAAGAAGTAAACTGACCAAATCAACCCATCCAAAACTACCCAAAACTAATCTATTTATGAAATTAAATATATATATATAAGGAGAAAATCAAGAAACCAAACAAAGGAAAACAAAAGAAAGAAGAAAGGAGATGGAAATGGAGATGGAAATGGAAATGGGAAGAAGGAATGAAGAGGAGGGAGAAGAAGCTAGGAAGGATGGGAACTGGATGGCACCAAGAGGGGGGGCACCTTCTCTTCTACACAAAAATGATATTAATTGTTTTTAGAGGGAGGGTTTTGATTTTTTTTTAATGGTTAAAATACTAAAAACCCTTGAACTTTTCTATAATTTTCAGATACATCTCTATTCTTTTATTATTATAATGAAGCCCCTAAAGTGATATTTCATTAAACTTTTAAATACTCCTTTAAATACTCCTTCTATCCATTTTTTTATTTATTTTTTTCTAATATCTTAAAATTATGTCATTTTTTATATTTTAAAATTATTTTTATTATTTTTTACTTTTTGAAATTAAAAATCATGAAATTTTAATTTTATAAAAAATTTAATTTGAATATTAAATATATTAAAATTAAAATTTTTTTAAAAATTTGATGAAAATCAATACAATTCAAATATTTTCAGATGGAAAAATTATTATTTTTTACTCAAATTCATATTTTTAACAAATTGTATTAATTTTCAAACAAAAAAGATTTTAATTAAATAAAATATTCTTTACTGGTTTTATTGCATATTATAAAAATTTAAGAGCCTATTTGATAAATTTAAAAAAGCTTCAGGGCGTTTTTAATATTTTACTATTTTTTTAAAATTATGATTTTGGTTTTTTGGGAATAGGGTTTTATTTTTCTCTGGCTGAAGTGACTTTTCCTTACTTTTCTCGATTTCTATACGTTCTGTTGACCCCACATCCGGACTCGGCCCTCGATTGCTTTATTTCCTTCTTCTTCTTTTTTTCACTGTTTTTAATTTTATTTATTGTTAATTATTATTACAGTTAAAAAAAATAATCTGTATCGAAATGACAGAAAAGTCCTTTCTCTCTTAATTATTTTGTCAGTAAGTAAAATTTCCTGCCTATGCTTTTTTACAGATTGGTCACCATCATTCTCTCTGTGTTGGACAGGTTTTCTCTTTTTGGGAGTATTAGCAGTATTTTCTTTACTTTTTAATTTTCATAAAATTTAGAGTGATTAAAGTAGGTTTATTCAAAGGTTAAGTTATTCATTTAAACTTGAAATTTTGTTTAAATTTTAAAAAGATTGATAAAAAAATTAAAATTTATTAAATAAAATTGAGTATAATTTTTAAATTTGTTTAAATTTTCAACCAAATTTTTAAAAAAATTAAAATCTAATCTGACCCAAATAAATTATATATAATTAACATATTATAATTATATAAATATATATGTGTGAATTTTTATTTTTTATTTTTAAAAAATATTTTTTTAAAAATTTTTACTATATAAATTAAATTTAATAAATAAATTTAAATTTATTTTTAATTTAGATTAAATTTAAAAATCATTTGAAATTTAAAATATCAAATCAAATCAAATATGAATAAATATATAAATTAATATAAATTATTAATATTAAATGTAAATTCAATCCAATCCATAAACACCTTTAATTTAAAGCAAATTTCTAAGAATATTAAGGGTATAATAATAAGCTCACTTTCTCCATTGCATGAACTAAATTATATTTCATATTCCTAATTCTATAGGGCCAAACTAGAGAATCATTTTTCTTTTTTCTTTTTTTTCAGCTTTTTCTTTTTTGATAATTGATTCTTCATCTTCTTTAAGAGAATTTTGGTTCTCTTTGTTAAGTTTGTGTACACTCTTAGATTCCTCTCTTATTTTCTTTTTAAATGTCGGTTAGAGCATTTTTAAATTTTATTTAATCTTAATTTTTTTCGAACAATTATAAAATATATTTTTTATATCATTTAATGTATTTAAAATTTTATCATCGAAATATTTTATAATAAAGATCGAATTAACTAATACGAGTAATTTCAAGTGACAAAATAAAATTTAGAAATTATTTAAATAATTAACAATTTTCTTTTATAAATCTAAAAAAAAAATACAACAATATTTTTTACATATTTTAAAGCTATTTTTCAGATATTAAAAAAATTACATATATTAATAAAAACTCATTTATTTGCCTTCAAGACAATTGTATATCAAAAATGTAAATACGGATTTTCATATTTAACTAATGAAAAGCAATAATGAGATTTAGGGTGCAATTGGGATCAAAATGGAAAGAAAATATTTTTACTTTAATGAAATACCATAACAATAATAAATTTATACGTGTTTAATATCAAAATGATATTCTAATGCTATGAAAAAAATTGTTATTGCACTTTAAATGTAGTTTTACAATATGAAATCAATTTATTTTTATTATGAATTATCTTTTAAGGTAATTTTCCTCAAATTAAATAAAAAACTTAATGTGAAAGAAAAGGTGCAAAGTAAAAGAAAGGCAAAGCTCAATTTGCAATGGGATTTTAAAAAAATGTGTGTAAAAAGCAAAAACAAAATGCAATAATGAATTTATGAATGTGATGATGGAATTATTCAATCCAAAGGATTTATTACCATGATTACTAGTCAATTACTACTATATAACCTACTCGAAGTTGGCCTTTGTGTTCCCCATTTTGCTTCTTTAAGCAATAAGCAAGATGCCACAATTAGTCTTGAAAATTAGGTATCAAGATTTTGCAAAAGTTTTTAAAGTGGAAATTAAAATAGTAATTTAGGATTGCTTGCTTCTTCTAAATGGAGAGAAGATGAGCAATAAAATTTGGCAACTTGCTACCACCATACCCTTGAAAATCTAAATTAAAAATCATCTTCCATTTGTGACATTTATATTGGACCTTCCCAAAATTCTCATAACAATTTTTTCTTTTGTCATGATCAATTGGATCTAAGATTTAAATCCATATATTTTTATAGTTCACTTTTGTTTTCATTATATTTTGTTAGATCACAAACTTTAAAAGTTGTACGTATATGATTATGTTCGTATTAAAATTAAACAAGTTTGTCAATAGTTTTCATGATTAGTTAATACTAAATTTTTAATTTTAGTAATTAAAATTTAAATTTTGATAACTTTAAATATCGAAAAAAATTTAAGCAAAATTTATCTTTTTAATATAAAAAGAATACATATCCAAATTTAAAATTTATATTTAAATTTTTATTACTTGAGAAAATTAACCGTTTCAGATATAAATGATTTACCAACGCACATGATTTTCCTCATTAAAAAGAAAAAAAAAAAGATGCAACTTCCTTTTTTACATTAAATCAACCAAAAAGAAAAGCAAAGAAAAAGAACATATTCAAATTCAAAAAAAAAATTTGTGGGAACTCGACATGGTGTGAATTGAGATTGCAGCCAATAGTGTGGATATGCTTTTACTTATCCTCCACAAAGAAATATTGTAAAGAATTGAAAACTATATATTAAATTTAATAATAATTAATTAATTCCAACACATACCAACCATATTATAAAGGTAGATATTTACAAATTAGAGGCCATCTCCACTATGAAAAAGGTTGTTCCTTCTCTTGATTTTCTTCCTTCTTTATGGTTTGCATCTAAATTGTTGATATTTGTTTTGCCCAACCCTATTGCTATTGGTATAACTACCCTCCATCATGGCTCATAATTAGTGGCACTATCCACTTATTATTATTATTATTTGATTTTAGGGTTAATGATTTTTTAACATGATTAAGATGTTTTTCGAATTTGTTTAAATTTAAATTTTTTAAACGATTTTAAAATCGTACTTTTTTACATTGATTTTGTATGTTTAAAAAATTTTATCTTTTTTTTTTTTGTAAAAATAGAATTTTGATTGACAAAAAATTGGGAGATTAAGGCCTAAACCCACTTTAGAAGGAAGATAATTTTAAGGGAAATTGACAATTATAATTAGGGACTAAGACAATTAAGTTGTGCCTTCGCTTTTAAGTTCATGAAAGAAAAAGTGAGATTGATTCTTGCTATTATGCCCTTAACCACAAGGTATCCTATGGGAGAGAATATGAACAAATTTAAGGTCAAGTTCAAAGTAGGGTGGGGCAATGTGAGAAATTTAGGTCAACATGACCTATTCCAATTCTAATAACCAAATTATGGCATATTGTGACTAGGCACAATCATTTAAATTTATATTTTGATTATGTGTATAAGGGTAGATAAAAAAAAGTTTAAAATTAACATTAAAGCAGCCATTTATTCACAATCACATTATTTTCATACACACAATCTTATAACATTTAATAAAATCAAAATTAATAATTAAGATGCATGTGATTTTTTTAACAAAAATACAATAAAAACTATACATTATTTTTTTTAGTGTTTGAGGCTACAAAAATTTAAATTTTATTCACTAAAATTAAATTTTTAATATTTTATTTTTTACATGTGAATATATATCACAAACTTGACAATTAGTCAATGGTGGTGGTTTTTAAAAGATTTTTTTATCAACTTTAATATGTTATTTTATATTTTATTTAAAATTTTAAATCTGTTAAGTATTATTTATGAAAATATTAAAAATTAATTAATTAATAAATTAATTGTTTATTAGTGATTACTTAAATAGTAAGTTTATGCTTGCACCATTTAAAAAAAAAAAAAGGTAATTGTGTAATTTTTAAATTATTAGTGCTAACAATAACTCAATAGATAAGAAAAAGTTAATACAAATAAAAATAAAAAAAGCTCCGTACCAAATTGAAAGGACACAATTGCCATGAGGAAAATCTCAAATTATCCCAAAAAAAATAAAACAAAAAATGGAAGATCTGCTCGACCACGTTGTACGGGCCCCACTTCTGCCAGATAGATCTATCACTAAGACGTGGCTGTGGGCCCACACACTTCTCCACGTCAGTTGACCGTCATTTTCGCATATTAAAAGACGTGTACTCAAACTTAAAAAAAAAAAAAAGAAAAATAAGAGAAAATTACTTTTCTTTTGTTTCTTTTAACATAATTAAATTGCACTTTGACCCCAAAAAGTTTTGGCCTTTTTCTTATACACCCTTTATTTTCAGTTTTACACATTAATCATTTGAA